CCCCCAACCAAGCTGGATGACGCTTAGGATAAGGCTTCACACCGGAGCTCACTTACACTCGCAACCAAGTAACGTTACCTCTTCCTTCCTGGCGACCGATATCTCAACCCCTTGCACTTTCTTGCCTGAGCCGCAATCGTCAAGCCGCAGCGGCACGGCTTGCAGCCGCATCGACTGTGCGGTAAAGACACGCCGCTCGATGACGCCGGCAATTGCAGCCACGGACCAAGAAAATGTGCCCTTTGGGTCTTCCGACAACCGCCGGGAGACCACTGGTCTTATCGAAATATCAGACTAGCCATGCTCTGAGCGGTGGTCTTTCGTGTTTTCTGGCGATTACTCGCAGACTGCATGTTTCTGCGATCCGCACAATCTCTAGCGCCCGCTTGGAGGTCGTAGGCCCTGCCACTACTTCGAAAAGGAGCCAAGATCGGCCTCTTGGCTTCAGTACTCAGGAACCAACGTTGACATGATTGTTCCATCTGAATCCGTTCGTTCAACCCCCCACATAACTTAATAACCCCTGTGGGCAAGCCTCTCGTTGATGGTTCATCCTATGTTGAGGATGCTGATCCGGCGTGAGCCTGAGATCAGTCCTTGAACCTGCCTTATGAGGATCCCTTGCTTGTGGATTGGAGCACACGCGAACGACCTTCCGGCCCGATGAGCGAACGCTAGAGCCAATGTCACTGGTGAATGACCTACCGGAAGCCCCTCTAATGAGGAACCGCGTACTTCTCAGACTCACATCTGGGGATCAGACGCGTTATCCTCACCAGTGAGAGGCTTGCGAGGGCCAAGACCCGTTGTCTCTCGAAGAATATTGACTATAGCCTGTAGAGACGAGTTTGCAATGTAGGCGCCGCTTATCAATGACTGATGTTTCCTGCCATCCATGCGCCAGCAAATGTAGCACTGACCCTGGTGTCACACATGTTGCCGCCATGCCACTCCGTTTAGTAAGGGGCCGCGAGTGCGAGGCCATCGTACGACATTTCAGGGATCGGTATTTCTTGGAGGCGCTGCCCTGCTCATCCTCGTCTCCGTAATCCCGTGCCGAATGTGACATGTCTTGCACGGATTTGACCGCAGCACAGCATTGTGCCGTTTCTTCCGTAAATCCGTGGCTTGATCCACAGGTATGGGTTCGCCTGCCTCGTCTGCCAAATTCGACTGTGTAATACAAGGCTACGACTCTCCAGGGAGAATGGTATGCCTGATGCTCAAGTAGTCCTTTGCATGCGGGGGATGCCACACATCATGTAGCATCGCCAACGAGCGACACGGCTTTGCCAATGGAAAGTCTGACAATCTTACATCCCTACCGGGCGTATTAGTCATTGAACAGCCATTTGACAGTTGAGGTTGAGCAAAACGTACATCGTAGCCGACTTCCAAGGCAACAATCGGCCCTGCTGTTACCAAGCTGTCCGTTTGGGATACGCTCACCCAGTCTCCGACCCGCTCTGACATGGTCCCATCTTCAAACACACAGCGAAGACCACGTACCCCTCGCTTCCCAATGGCGACCTTGATTCCAGAGAGCCTTGTTTGCAGGTCCACGACTTGGCTTCTGCTGGACTCGTATCCCAATGCGACGGCCTCGCCTTGAGCTTGCCGAAACGCTAAGCCAGTCACATAGTCTTCATTGCCGAGTCGCACCAGAAAGACTTCCAAGGTTGCTGCGGTGTCTGGGATCAAGACTTGCTGAGTATGGAATAGTCGACAACCGGCAGTAAATGTAGGTTCTCGCCGGCGATTCCAGTGTATCTCGGCCGTTTCTCGAGTCCACTCCAGCTCCTCCGGGATAAGCCAATTCCTGAACTCTACACGAGCCTCGAAGCAGCGCAGAAAAATGACGTCGCGTGCGTCTTCAAGTAACCTCCAGATGCGTTCTCTGTTTTGCAGTGAGGCAGAACTATTTGGAGCGCCGGTCTGGTGGTACAGCACCCTCCAGTCAAGCGGCTGGCCGTTACTCTCAGTGCGTTGTAACCATTCGGTCGCCTCGAAGACCCAGCGACGCTCATCGATGGTTGTGAATCTTGATGCCCAGAATTGGTTTTCATCGAAGACGAAGCGGAAGGCTCTAGATGCGAGCCTGATGCGTGCAACATCCGAGGTCGGGAGTTCGCACGCCACCAGAAGACGAAGCTCTGGTGGCAGCATCGCAAACGGGTCTCGACTTCCTATGCGGCATCTTGCCATGACAGCCGGGACAGGGACTGGATTCTCAGGCTTCCTGCAGTTGAGGGTCTCCAGTCTGATGGTGTCCAATGGATTGTGCCTCGCGATGGCAGCCAGACGATCCTCGGAGTCGATCCGACGCACACGTCTGTTCCCAGACACGTCAGGGTCGCGATGATCGTCATCGGCAATCAGGAGTCCCCCATACATATGCCCCCAGTCCAGGCCCGTAGCTTCACTAGCGGCCGGCAGGCTGTTCAGCACCGAAAACAAGGTGGAAGGGTTGATCTCGTCGGGGGCGAAAACCTTCTGTGCGAGCTCCCAGCAAGCAGCATGAATAGGGTAGCCATGTCTTCCCTCAACGGCATCCTGTAACATGACACCTACCTCAGCAGTCGTCGGTGCTTCCATGTCGGCCCAGTGCTTCGCGTAGTCGAGAGGAGCTATCCATCGGCGTCCCCCCAGGTCGCTCATGGCCCCGATGCCCGACACGGACGTGCCCAGACCGTCATGATTGGTAACTGACAGTGTCAGCTAAGAACGGTCTCACTCTCCGTGTATTCCCTATATCAGACTTACCGAGCCGAAACTCTTCAAGCCAGCGCGTCGAGTCCCCTTGGCGGTGACGGTCGCAGATCTCGTACCCGCAAGCGAAGCACGGGACAGTCATCTTGGTCGCGCTGCGGGGGATTGCGATTTGCTTGCCGCGACCGTGACCTTCACGAGCAAGAAATAAGTGTATCAAACATCGTCGTGCACGTGCAGTAAAATGGTGGTAGATGTCGGTATTGGAAAGCCTGGGCGTGGTGGCCAGGTGGATGATTTGCTGAAGTGAGAGTGGCGGCCTTGCAGGTGGTCGTGGTCGGCGGACCGGAGCTCATCAGTCGGAAGCCCTGCCGCCCAGGTACCTCGCGTTTACATTTTCGCACCAGCTCGTCACCGGCTCGTCAACAAAGCAGCACAACGAAGCTGCAGCAGCAACATTGCAAGGCCATAACATCTTGCCTTGGCTCTCTGAAAGTTGAACACCTTGCCCATGTGCCGTGGGCTGAATCATATACTTGTACATGAACACCGGCCCCAAACGCCAGACCCTTGTCCCTGGTCCCTTGTCCCAAGCTGTCCGGCTCCCCTGAGCTCGGCATATACGGGTATCCTATACAATGCAAGGCAAGAAAACCATCTAGCACCATCGGCCGCGTCCCTACCATCGGCCGCGTCCCCGACGACCTCCTCCAAAGCCTCCACGCCCACCACCTCCGCCGCCACCACCGCCGCCGCCTCCAGCCATGCCTTGGTCGTAGCCATACCCTCCCTGGTTGCCGCCGAACCCGCCAAAGTTCTGTCCTTGATTGCCTTGGGCGCCGCCACCTCCGCCGCCGCCCTGCATGCCGGACATCATGGCGTTCATCTGGCTGGGATCCATCTGTGACGGGTCCATGCCGGAGGCCATCATTTGCTGCATCATGGCCTGCATCTCTGGGGGCATACCGTCCATGCCCGACATACCGCCCGCGCCGCTTGCGCCGCCACCGCCTGGCATACCCATACCGCCCATCATCATCATGCTATTGAAGTCTTCCATCATCTTCTTGTTGTTGGTGGCGAACGCGTCTGCGCCGAACTCGCCGCGTATGCTTTCCTGCTTGGCAGCGTAGAGAGCCCAAGTGAATTCGTCGAAGCCGTAGTTGAAGTAGTCGCTGATGTCTGTGCCAGGCTTCCGCCAAGGCTTCTCGTTGTCGGGAAGATCTGCAGCCTTGTCAGCTCCCTGATATGTGCTCCTATGTTGTGATGACTCACCCTCGTCAATGTTGACCTGGGTGATTGGTTTACCAGCGGCGGGATAGGTCGGGTTCCCATTGATATCTATTGTAGATTTGGATGCTGCAGCAGAGGCGCGATCTGCACTGGGTGCCGCGACATTAGGAGCTGCTCTCGAGCCCTCATCCTTCTTGGCCGGCGCAGGCTTTGCAGTTGCGTCCGTGGAAGTAGAGCGCTGCGGTATGTTTCTGATGTCGCTGTACTTTGCTTGTCTGGGGATGAAGAAGTTAGCACGGCGACGATATCTCGCCTGGGAGAAGCGAGGGGCATACGTCGGAGGCGCAGCCGTGGTGCCATCCTTGCGCTCAGTGATGATATCAATATCCTAAGGTACGTCAATGGCTGGACAAAGTCTTGTTTGCTTCCATTCCGGCGAAGGCTTACCGAGTCGTCGTCATCCTCGTCCATCGCGCCGCCCTCGTCCTCTTCTTCGCCTTCTTCCAGCTCGTCGGACTTGGACTGGGGGGGCTGTTTGTTGTCGTCGGGCAGGACCTTGGGCTCCTCGGGTTCGTAGAGATCGTCGCCCTCGTCCATCTCCATTTCGTGTTCGGCCATGGCGATAGCGCTGCTTCTACAGCTGTGCGAAGTAGGAATGAAGTTGTGCCAGGTCTGGAGCTTGCAGGTTGCACGCTGGACAGCTGCCCGCTGTTGGGTGAGGTGGGTAATAAGCACGGGGCAGGCAGCTCCAGTTGGGCCGACGTTTCTCCGGGTGTTGATGGCCCAGCGCCTGGCCCCAGCTGCTGGCGCGTATCGCAGCCTTTATCAACGCCGGCCGCTCAAAACTTCCAGAAGCTCTCCCACCTTTCCCTTGTCCCAGCCGCACCGACCGCCAACGGCCTCCCAACGCTCATCGAAGGCCGCTACCGTGCGATTCAACTTCAGGCCCAGTTGCGCGCCGTTCAATGTCTTTAGCGCGCTCAGCTAGCGTCCCTGGGGGTCTGACAATCAACACCGGCGTCGCGAACTCTCTGTAAGCCGTTTGGATTCTGCCCGCGGCCCAATTCAAAGCTTCTGGCCGGCTGCGCTCCGAGCTGCACGCGCCGGAAAAGCATATACTGATATCGAATATTTCAGGGGTACGACGGCAACCCAGCAACCTGCGGCGGGGGGTCTGTTCGGCTCCGGCAGCTCTTCTGCCAAACCAACGACGACTACCGGCGGAATGGCTTCCACAGGCGGCCTCTTCGGCGGAGCCCAGCAGAAAACGGGTTCTAGCCTGTTTGGATCCTCAACTGCTGCTGCAACTGCTCAGCCGGGCACTGGAGGAGGTCTCTTCGGCGGCGGCGCCGCGACCGCCCCCCAACAGAGCCAGCAAGGCACGGGTGGTGGACTGTTTGGGAGCACAGCACAGCAGACACAACCGGCGCAGTCGACCGGAGGTGGTCTCTTTGGTACTGCCGCAAACCAGCCACAACAACAGAGCGGAGGCCTCTTCGGACAGTCGACGCAACAGCAGCAGCCGCAACAACAGCAGACCCAGCCCAGTGGAGGCCTTTTTGGGTCCTCCACGGCCACAGCTCAGCCAGCGACCGGAGGCGGCCTGTTTGGACAGTCGCAGGCCTCGCAGGCCAAGCCATCGGGAGGTCTTTTGTATGTCTTTCCCCGATATTGTGTTATCTAGCTAACATACCACCAGCGGCCAAAGCCAGGCAGCGCAATCTCAACCCACCAGCAGTGTCCCTGCTGTCCAGATCAACTACGACAACCTTCGACCACGAACGAGATTCGATGACCTAGCCCAGCCTGTGCAGGATGAAATTGCTCTCATCGATAAGGGAATACAACGGGTAATCAAGATGAAGGATGAAATCGGCGAGTTCATGCCTCAGCATGAGCGGGACATTGAGCAGCTGGGACGGGATGTCAAGTTCGTCGAGTCGAAATTCCGGACCGTTCAGGTCGCCCTGAACCGGGATATCCAGACAGTCAAGGTGCTTCAGGACATGACGAAGAAGAACATTACCGATGCGCAGCTGTCGTTTAAGGCGACGGATAACCTCAAACTACCCACTCACTACCACCAGACCGGCCTTTTCGCGGGGCCTACGCCATCAGCCGATTCCAACCCTGCGAATGCCTCATCGGCACACGCCAGCGCCCAAGACCTCATCACCTACTTCAACCGGATTTGCGACGATGTCGAAAAGTACAAGAAGCGCCTGGACGAATACCGCGCTGAAATCGAGCGCGACATGCCTGGCGTCGAAAACGGGCTGTACGAGCAGATTCGCTCCCTTAAGGACCGACACGCAGCAACTGGCGGAGGTGTACAGGATCAACTCACCCAAGTGCTTTCGGCGCTCCGGGAAACAGGCAACGCGATCGTCACACAGGCTGGCCAGATAGCCGACACGAGAGAGCGGCTGTCGCGGCTACAAGCCGGCATCGTGGACAGCGGCGTGTATGCGTTGGGAACCCACGCGTGAGATTGGGGGGTTTGGCGGCGTTCCTGGTTGCGTCACGGAGATCGGGCAGAAATGAGCGGAGCGTGTGACATGGTCGCCTACGCGATGGGCGTCTCGGAGCTTGGGAAGTCGAGGAGAGAAATCTCAGGAAGCACTGTAACACACTTAAAGGGCTGGACTCGCTAAAGTCGTTCTCAGGGACCGTCATCATTCTTGGCACGGCCACTTCCACCTGCATCAAGCACGTAGGGGGAGTTGCCAGGCGTTTCGATGTGGGATTTCAACGGGCTGTGATCAGGACCACCGGCGCTTCAAGTTATGTCGAGAGTAGAACACGGTGCATCCAGGACTGCTTTCTTGGGCACTCAAACACGTGCGATACTTTAAGAAGCATGTTGAGCCGGCACAACGCGGGGATGGAGCCGAACCGGCGACAAGTGATCAAGAGAAATTCTTTTTTTACCTATTGCGCCAACCGTTCCTGCAAAAAGTCGTGATGCTTATGTGAATAATGGGTATCGGCGCCCTTTGGCAGTCATGCACCTCGATGTGCTATGCCCAACCGCTCAAACAACTCAGTTCAGCAGAGGGTTTCCACTCCTTCCCATGCCATCGCCAGTTAGTATGTCCCCTCGCCCCCATCGTCGTCCCCGTAGTCGTCACCCATCTCGTCGCCGTTATCAAAGTAGTTCTCGGCATCGTAGTCGCCGGCATCCTCGTCGTCGTACGCCTCATCCTCCTCTTCTTCTTCAACGCCCTCCTCCTCATCTAGGTCCGCTCCCTCGTCGCCTTCTTCGTCACGCATGGCCTCAAGCTTGTCGAGCAGGCTCCGGCCACCGGCTGCAGCGGCCCCTGCGTCGTCCAGGTCGCCGTCGAGCGAGGGCATGCCAAATGCCTCCTCGGCGTTGGGTAGGGCGCTGACCTTGCTGAGCTCGAGCCTGCGCTTCTTGCGCACGCCTATGTCGTCCTCGGCCTCGACTGTGTCGAGCAGCTCGGCGGGGAAGAGCTCCCGGCAGATGGGGCGCGAGGACCAGTCGGGCAGGGCGCGGTCCTCGCGGATGAACTTTTGGGAGTAGGTGGGAACGGCGGTGAAGGCGTCGACCGAGGCCTTGTTCTTGATGCCGTAATGGGCATTTGTCTGGGCCTGGCCGTACAGCTTGCGGGGGGCGGTCGGGTCGTGGAGCGAGGCGCGCTTCGAGGTGTAGAGCGGCGACGAGTGTAGCTGGTGCCGCAGGAGGAGGAAGTACTGTACGCCGTTCTTTTCCGTGGCGGTCAGGTCGCGGGGCGTTGGGACTGAGTAGGGCTGTGTGCGACGGCAGGGTCAGCGACTTTGAAGCACCAAGGGATCATTCAAGCCGTGGGGGTGCTCACGGGAAACAGCTCCGAGGGACGGGCATCGGGCTCGTCGCCCGTGTCCCAGGGCACGTTGGGGCGGCCGGGACCTCTTGCGCCTCCGCGGCCGCCTCCTCGACCGCCTCTGGACATTGTAGAAGCGCTCGAAGTATCGCGGCTAGAAAGCGCGATGCGGGCGCGTGAGACGAAGAGATGGGGGGAGTGAAGAGTCAAGGACGGTCGAGCCTGGAATTTTTTTTTGGAGCCGGTGTTGGAGTCTCTCGTCGAATGCAGCCAACCTACGCCACGGCGGCTGGCATGGTGGGGTAGGATCCCAGCGCAGTGGGTGACGGCATTTGGGGGACCGCCTAGCCCCGGCGGGCTGCGCACTGCTGGACTGCATTCAATGGCCTAGGTGGAACCTGGAAGCTCACCCCACTGCAGCTGCAGGGAAATCCAGCCCTGCTTTCCCGCCAGGCCCTACGGGCGACCATAGGGACATTTGTCTCAAAACGCAAAAAAACAGTTTTTGGTTTACTAGTGCAACCCCATAGAGGGCGTACAAAAATCAATATTGAGGTAACTATAGTAGAGAGATAAAATGCCCCATATTAACATTAATTATCGTAGTTATTATAGCTATCGTAGCTAGCCAGCCAGCCAGCCCGAGCATATAATTAAGGTCATCGCGGCCAGCCGGGTGCAGCAGGCAATTGAAGCCATCGCGGCCAGCCAGCCTGCCAGCCAGCCGGCCAGCAAGCCGTAGCAGGCATCTAAGGTCATCGCGGCCAGCCGGGTGCAGCAGGCAATTGAGGCCATCGCGGCCAGCCAGTCTGCCAGCCAGCCTGCCAGCTAGCCTGCCAGCTAGCCATAGCAGGCATCTAAGGTCATCGCGGCCAGCCGGCTGCAGCAGGCAATTNCCAGCCAGTCTGCCAGCCAGCCTGCCAGCTAGCCTGCCAGCTAGCCATAGCAGGCATCTAAGGTCATCGCGGCCAGCCGGCTGCAGCAGGCAATTAAGGCCATCGCGGCCAGCCGGCTGCAACAGGCAATTGAGGCCATCGCGGCCAGCTAGCCGGCCAGCCAGCCGTAGCAGGCGTCTAAGGTCATCGCGGCCGGCCAGCTGCAGCAGGAAATTAAGGCCATCGCGGCCAGCCAGTCTGCCAGCCAGCCGGCCAGCCAGCCGGCCAGCAAGCTATAGCAGGCATCTAAGGTCATCACAGCTAGCCGGCTAGCCGCAGTAGGCATCTAAGGTCATTACAGCCAGCCAGCCAGCCGTAGCAGGCAATGAAGGTTATCGCGGCTAGCTGGCTGTAGCGAGCAGGCAGTTTAAGGTCTGTCTCTTATACACATCTAGATGTGTATAAGAGACAGCATCTAAGGTCATCACAGCTAGCCGGCTAGCCGCAGTAGGCATCTAAGGTCATTACAGCCAGCCAGCCAGCCGTAGCAGGCAATGAAGGTTATCGCGGCTAGCTGGCTGTAGCGAGCAGGCAGTTTAAGGTATTGCTGCCGCTGCTACATATAACCGTAATATTGCCTTACTTGAGTAGGGGTTTCGAATGTACCGGGGGGTTCTGAGGGGTGGATTTGGAAAATTGAGATGTGCACTGATGACAATTTTTGTTTTGAGACAAATGTCCCTATGGTCGCCCGTAAGGCCCGGGGGTTCTGCAGGTGATGACCTCGGTGCCCCGCCTGCTGGCCACCTCACCTCAGCGGAACTCCCCCGCCCGCTGGAGTTGGAGGGACCTGGACTTCCAAGGTTCCAATTACTGGGCCCCGGGCCAGCTTCAGCAAGCACAGGCAGCCGTTGGCTTACACAGCAGGCGCACCTGCCTTCATCAACCTCGACTCTCCCATCTCGCCATCCGTGTCAAACCACCGCGGCCATCTCACCAGCTTCTCACCTTTGCAACGCCGATAGCCAGAGTTCCCAGATGACAGACAGAGTGGTGCCAACCGTTGCCATGGACAGCGTCCCGATTTCCGGCCTGGAGGAGCTGCAGGCTCATCTCCAACAGCTGGTCGATGATCCTGCAGTCCCTTTCAACCTCAAGGCCATGGATGACGTCGAACTTCAGTTGACAGGTAGGCCAAGGTCCCTTTCCTTACGCCCATAAAATGCAGTCATCCAGAGGCAGGAGCTGACCTGGGCGCAGAGGACAATATTCCGCCGCTTCTCCCGACGCTGCTGCCGCCTCTCACCCAGATCCTCAAGACCACAACGCAGGATCCGACACCACTCCTCTCTCTGACCATCAAGCTCCTCTCGCCGCTTTCATTCACCCGCACTCTCACGATAGCGGATCCTCCGTCTCTTTTGACGGCCCTGCGTTCCCCACTGCCGGGCGCAAATCTCCTGGCCCTGGCTATCATTCACAAGGCCGCAGGCGCCCCTTCGGATGCCTCCATTCTTAGCACACTGCCTGAGGTTGTCGAAGAGCTGGTCCGCTGTTGGCTGGAGAGCCTCGATACAGGGGTTGGTGAGCGTGCTGCCAGGGTTCTCGGAGATCTCCTGGAGACAGATTGCGAAGTTATCGGCGGCGAGGGTGTCAACGGCGTGGCCAATGTCGACGGGGTGAACGGCACCGAGGTGGTGAAGCGTCGCCTGCCAGGACACGCGCGGCTATGGAGTCTGATCCTACAAACCCGGCCGAACCTTTCGCTCATCCAGAGTCGTTGCACCCTCGAGGCGGAGGTTGACGAGCCCTCCCGTACTGCCCGCCAAGTTAGCATCTCCCAAGGCCGGCTGCTTCGGCTCCTTCCACGCCTTGCCGCCCTCAACCTGCGAGTAATTTCCAGTACACCCTTTGCCGACTTGTTTATGCTGCCGGGAGTCGTTTCTGAGCAGGTCGGATCTGGCCTGCTGCAATGGGCGGCGCTCGGCATGGTGGACAAGTCGGACTTCCTCATGCACCTCACTCTCAATGACTTTTTCGAGACGCTCGTGAGCGTCATGCGGGTATCTACCCGCTCCCCGGACATTGATATAGCCATCAAAGCCCTTGTGAAGACGGCAGTACGAAACGACATGGAGCTTGGAGCGGCACTCGAGACGCTCCCCGACCGGACTGTGGAAGAGGAGGCCGAGGCGCTGAGGAGGTACATATCAGGGCTACTTGATTGATGCATATCGCTAGCATGCACTATTTGACGCAATTCCTCATACATCATGATGTGTCTCATGGTCCCTACCACTCGTGGCTCAGTGCATTGTAGGGAGGGGTCATCGGAGATAGGTGATCGGTGATGGGCTGTAAGTCCGCGTCCGGAACGCCGATGCCTACATACTACCTTTCGAGCATTAGAGGCAGCCAAATTGCGGTCTTCTTAAATCGAATGAATATTTCGCAATCGTCAAGCCTTTCTGTATCAAAACACAGAAATCATGGCAGTCGTTCTCGTTACCGGTGCGAATCGCGGCATCGGCCTCGCCATCGCCCAAAGCATCACGGCGCGCCTCCCCAACGACACCGTCATCCTGGGCTGCCGCACGCTCCAGTCCGGACAGGACGCCATCGAGAGATTGCAGGCTGGCGGCATTGGTCTCAAGTTAGACGTAGTCGAAATCGACATTGAGAGTGACTCGTCCATTGCGACGGCCGTGGCGGCAATCGAACGCAAATACGGCAGGCTCGATGGTACGCACATCTCCATCGAACTTAGCGAAGACCATGGTAATTCCCGTGTTGCTGACAACCGAGGGTGGTGTCAGTGCTCGTCAACAACGCTATTAAGCTTGACGTCTCGACGGCGGAGGGCGACCTCCCCTCCGCGAGGGCTGTGTCCAACGCGTGCTTCAACAACGGCATCACATCCAACGCCATTGTCACGCGCGCCTTCACCCCGCTCCTGCGCAAGAGCGCGAACCCGCGCGTCGTCATGGTTTCCAGCACAAGGGGCAGCATGGGCCGCACAGCCTCCAGGCAGGTTCGACGCCTCCCTCCCCTCCCCTTCCCTTCCCCCCTGGGCGGCGCACGTTCAAGAGACCTCGTTGCATCGCGAAAGAGAGAAACACACTGACGAAGCGCACCTAGCTCCCTCCCGTCGCGGTCGTCGACTACTGCATCGTCAAGGCTGGACTCAACATGCTCACGCTGCACCTGCAGGCCGCCGAGGATAACGACGACGACCACGACGGGGAGACGAGAATCACCTTTTGGGCCGTCAGCCCTGGCCACTGCAAGACGGGTTTCAACGGCTTCAGGGGCACCAAGGATCCCCTTGACGGGGCGGAGGTCGTGCTAAGGTTGCTAGAATCGCAGGCGGGCGAGATTCCAGGGGGCACGTTCTGGGAGTATGAGGGCGGCGAGTTTCGTATGCCACCTTGGTAAGAACGTGTGCACACAACAGATTGAGAGAGAGGCCCCGATCGCCATAGAAACTTCAATCAGGATACAAGACTTGTCTTTGTTTACACCTCATGAAGTATGAATATGCAGCAGGCTTCTTGGGACATGGCCTCATTCGTCCACTGCTGACTGAAACCCTCAGAAGATCTATCTGTCGACGCAACGCCGTTGCGCGCCGCCTCACATGCGTGCTTCAACATGTACTAACTTACAGCATCTTCCGCGCTGCGGCCTCGTGCTCGCTGCCGGGCTCCTCGTGGTCATCGGTTACCGCACTCTCCCGTCTCCTGTCTCCCGCCTTGGTCAGACCTTCGATACCCAAGGCGACTTCGCCGACCCGCCGCAGAACTGCTAGAAGAGCAGCCCTGAGGTCTTGACTCAGGTCCTTGTTCAACAGTTCCACTGCCATGGGGTAAAAGTCAGGGATATGAGCCTTGAATGCGTCCTCAGGGAACGTGGCATAGCCTTCCAGTACGTCCACCACCACGGGCCGCCAGGCCATGATGTTCCTATGCTGGCTCTCCTCGGCCAACAGTGAGTATCCAGTGATGATGTCCTTGCACAGCGGCACCAGTGCCGCCTCGATGTCGGGTCTGCTCTCCAGCCTCTCCGGCGCGTTGTCCGCAAACATCCTGAAAAGAATAGACACGTACGTAGCAGCTGACCCGCTCTCCTGCTTGAGCAGATTGGGAGGCTGCTTCATGAAGCCTTCGCGCCAGAGCCGCATGCGGAGCTCCTTGTCCTCGTTGAAGCGGCGGGCAAACTGGAAAGAGCGCTTCAACAGAGCCATGAGTCGAAGCAGTTCCGTGGACGGGATGTGAGTATACACTGTGTCGTTGCTGAAGAGCTCATTGACCGTCTCAATCATGAGCAACTGCAGCACACACCTTGAGATGATGCGATTGAAAAATCGTCGGCGTGCTGCAGTGACCACCACGGGCTGCTGCTGCAAGTTGGACGACGGCTTGAACTCCTCCAGTGGTTGACCACCAGTGGGCGTCTGCAGATCATCGCCCTTGAGGTGCGGCGATGGCTGCCCGTGCATGGACTCCGCATCAGACAGAATGCTGCTCTCCTCCGCACCGTTGATCTTCAGGGACTTTTCGTCGACAGCGGGAGTATCGGTCGGAGGACTCAGGCCGCCGGAGAAGTCGAATCCGTTTGACTGGAGTGACAGCGACGCCGCCGAGTTCGGGTTAGCGGCGGTGAAGAGTTGATACGCCGTGGTTCGCTCAAAGAGCTCACAGAAGGCGCCAACGATCCTAGCCCAGTGCTCGGCGGTGAACTTGGTCACGTTCTTGAGTATCAGCTGCTGTAAACAATTGCTGCCAATGCGCGAGATCGTGTCATTCTCCTGGCAGATGCACAGGGCCAAGAGCTCCAAGAACCGGTCCAGCATATGCTCGAGAGCGTCAAAGTAGTGCGTGAAAAGCGTGATCATGTTGCGCAGCGCCTGGATCATGGTAGTGGACAGCCAAACAGAAAGTTCCTCGTGGTTGAGGACGTTGGTCAGTTCGGGTCGGGACCGGAGCACCATGAAGATCGGGTACAGTTGCTGTCGCCACAGGATGTCCCAAAACTCGGGTGTGAAATCTCCGCCATACTTGACAAGCGCTGCGAAGAAGTACTCCAGTGCGTTCGAGCGCACCTCGAGATCTTCCCCAGTCATGAGGACATCATGGAAAGCAAAAAGCACAGGGAACCAGTAACCCTCCTCAACGGAGGTTTTCGTTGGCACGGATTTGGTGGCGCCATCCGCTGCTTTGGTGGCCGACTCGCCCTTCCTCGGGATTTGCGACAGAGGGCACTCGGGTGTCTTGAGCATTGTGGGAACGATGGACTTCAGAAGCTCCAGCGCAGCCAGGCTCTTCTTCTGGAACTTCAGGTTCTTCGAAAACTCCGTCAAGCAAACAATAAGGTCCGTGAAGGCGCCTTGAGTGATGACGACCCCAAATTTGGTCCGGTACACTTGGTTGACGTTCTCATAGGCGAGGTTGACGATGCTCTCGTGCGGTTCTCGGGCGGCAACGGTGAAGACGCCAAACATTGTCCTCCACCCCGAGCGGATGTTGTCTCCCCGGGCTTGTATCATCTGGATAAGACAGCGCAGAACCATGTCCTTGACCGTAATGTTGTGCGAATTTGCCAGGACATGTTCGAAGGGTTTCAAAAAGTCCTTTTGGAATTTGAAACCAGCCAGTTCCTCAATCTCCATGAAGCGCATGGACAATTGTCGTAGCGAGTCCAGGGCGAAGAACACAATGTTCATGTTGTTGTGGCATCCGACTTGGTTGAAATGCTCGCCGAGGACGTCCCAGATGTTGCTCCATTCGAATCGGACACGGTTCATGTTGTAGTAGCTGATTTCTACAATCTTCTGGAGACTGTAGGTCCGAGGAGAGTCGTTGGAGCCCGAGACCTTGATCTCGTCCCAGCTGACCTCGGTGAGGGCCTTGGCAAAGTGAACCATGGCCTCTCCAGAGAGGTTGGCCGTATTTGTAAAGATTCGGTCGACGCTGCGAATAAACTCGTCCGAGCGGCTCTCCAACGCAATCTCGTTGGAGAACCCACGGGAACCAGTGCCTGAGCGCTGGCGTGTTCTTTGCCGGGATTGGTTCGACGACCTCGAGTCGGAGGTGTCAGTCCGAGTGAACCGGGCCTGCGATACATCGGGTACGGCGCTTTCGTCCACGCCGCCCGTGATCAGTTGAAGCCGGTCAAGCTGACTGATACACATGAGAATGTCCTTCCAAGACTCGGCTAGGAGATTGCCCTCGGTCTGGCCAAGTTCCAACAGAACTTTGAGAGCTTCGATGTTCTTGGCCAGCATGTCCTGAGGGTTGTTGAGATGTGTTGTGTTTCTCAAGGCCGAGATAAACGCTTCTCTAGGTGTGGACAGCTCAAAGACACACGCGATCTTCGTCGCAAGCTTCATACCCTCAAGACACAGCTTGTTGACCTCGAGGTTATGTGCCTTTTGCATCTGACTCGAGAGAGCTGAAAAGTAGGACATCCAGGTCACATCGAACATGGAGCCCACATGTTTGGAAGATGTTGCCGGGATGAATTTGGGTCCCGCCTTGGAGGTGTTGCGGCGTTGGCTCTTGAAAAGGTTCTTGAAAAGCTGCTCAGACCGCAATGAGATTTCCTCCGACTGTTGCACGTATGCCTCGCGCTGCAAGTCACGTCCGACATTGGAAAGCGCTTGGCCAAGCCCAGCTGCGAGACCAGTGGGCTGCGAAGCCGGCGTCCCGGCTGCGGCAGCCGCCTCGCGCTCGCTGGTGAGAACAATCTCATTGCTGGCGATCTCCTCATAGATGCCGATCAGATATTCATCCGGCAGATCGGCGTTATCGTTGATGCCCCGGTTGTTCTTGATGAATTCTTCCTTGCTCATTCTCTTGGCGATCTTGCTGCTATGCTGATCTGTGTTCAGCATGATGACCGAGTATGCCAACACGTATGCAGTGTCGGCGTTCGCGAAAGCGTTGGGATTCCCCAGCACGTATCGCTCAGCAAACTTCAGCATGAAGCGATCAATCTTCTGTGCCTCTCCAGGAAGTCGGAATGACTGGAGGAACTGGCGTAGGGCGTCGACGAATCGTTTCTTGGTGAAGTCCATGGAGTCGACAAAGGCGTGCATGATGTCAATATTCTGCTGGTCGCCCTCGCCTAGGAACTCTCCAATCTGGGCCTTGTCGAGTTTGTCCTCCTTCAGCAGAAAGCTGGCAATCTCTGCTGGCTCTTCACTTGCGATGAAGCCATCACGCAGCAGAAGCTTGATTCCCCTCTTGGGCTTGAAGTTGAACTGCCTGATAGCATTCATCAATGCCGTTTTCCGCGCCTTTTCCTTCTCCAGCTGATCAGGGTCATCGTCCACTACAGGCGTCGATGGTGGCAAAGGCGTCTCCAGCCGTGAGGCGCTGTCGCTTGCCGTTGGGTCGATCGATGGCCGCAGCTCATCCAACGATGCCTTCGTGTCGCCGTCTGCCTTCACCGTTTCGGCGCCATCTGCTCGCACTGACGCTGACCAATTCACCAGAGACCTCAGAGATTCTACCAAGGCTTCGAGGGACAGTCGCTTTATCGCGTACTCCTTGGGAAAATCAGGTTCGGCCTCCTGCTGTGGCACGATATGCACAACAGTCAACGGCGGAGGCAAGATGCCCTTGAGCTGCCACTCGCTTGCAGGGGCGGACTTTGCACGCAACTCCTCGTACACCTGCTCGTTGATAGATGTGATTGCGACAGGAGTAGTGGAGAATTTGGAGAGATCTTCGACAATGGTCTGAAAGATGTTGTCCACTGTTTGATCGCAGTCATAGTTGAGGTAGATTTCCACCAGAGCTCGAGGATCGGCGCACAGGCGGTTGAGGATAGTGACAAAGTAGAGCTTTTGTGTTAGTGGCGCATTCCGCCGAGACAAAAGGGCCAAGTAAATCTCGTTGAGAATGACCTCAATCTCTTTCTGCAAGAATTGTTAGCCCAGAAGGGCGAGTGGCTACCGCTTAGGGGGGCCTTGCCTTGAACGACGGCCGCATGTACTTGAGCATGAGCCAAAAGATCTCGCAGCAGACATCGAAAATGCGGTCCACGGCGCTGGCACCATTACGGGTAATGCTGAGACAGAGGTAGAATTTGACAGCCTGGAGGAAAGAAGTGGGTTCGTTGCTCTTGGAGCTCTTGATCGTGCATAATGGCGACGTGAAAACGGTAATGTTGTTGTTGAGGACGGTGTGGATGAGATGGAGAGAGATGAGCTTGGAGCGCATAGGCTGCCCACGCAAGTCGTAAAGCTGGTCCGGGGCGAGAACCTTTGTCGATAGATTGCAAAAGGATCGGAATACGAGATATGCGTCTCGGATGTAAACTTCGTCTTCCGCATCCAGTGCATCGCCGTCGTCGTGGGTCGAGTAGTCGGTAACTGACTGCCCGGAAACTGACGTCTCCGTCTCGTCCTTCTTGGCCGGCGCCAGTCGGGTTACCATGGTGGGCCCGTCGCCCAAATTGGAATCGTCGAAGCTCTTCCGATGCTCGAGGTCCTTCAAGGTAAGTTTCGCGCCGTTCCCGTTGGCCTCGCCAGAGCCAGAATCGCCCGATGGCGCTACCGACCCATCGTCGTCGGCGGCTCCGTTGGCAGCTTCAGCCGGGTCGAACGTGATGTTGCTTGAGCTATGCTTGAGGCTGCCGAGATTTAATCTGGCCTCCTTCATGTGTAGCCTTGTCTTGACACGCTCAAAGACTGTCCCGACCATCTGCGTCAGCGTGCCTTGTGCAACTTGCTGGTTCGCGGTGCTCCGCGAGAGGAGGAAGACATTGTAGACCTGGCGGACAGCCTTGAGAAGGCCAGCGCCATGGACGACGATTTTGTCATTGAGGACAGCGGCCAAGAGGGACTTGACAATCTGCAGCTGAATCTCGACGGCCGTAGTCTCGCCCTGAAAGCAGTCGCATATTGTGTCGATGGCGCGCTCGATCAACGGCGGGGCGGGTTCTGCGCCGTCTTTGGCGTCTTCGTCTTGGGTCGGGATAGAGAAGTAGGAGTAAGAGATGAGCTTGCCGATGCAGTCGAGTGCGGCGTTTGTCAGTTGGGGGTTGTTGGACTTGGTGGCCAGCTGCAGCGGTGCAAAGACGATGTCGGGGTCCGGGAGCTGGTCCTGCTCCTTGATGGCGTCGAGGGCCTTCTTGGCCGAGTCGGCGAGCTGCTTGTTCCGCTGGGCATCCTTGGAGGTGGCAATGGCGTCCAAGGAGGACACCACAAACTTGAGGGAGCTCATCGGGGAGCAGAGAGGCAACCAGGTGCCATTCGCGAGGGTATCAGGTGAGGCGGATGCGAGAGGTTTTAGGGGTATGCGCAAGCAACCGCGGCAACGACGGCTCCCCTGTCTGCCCGCGTAGCAGTCGCACGGGTGGGACTGCGAGCTGCAAGCGACTCCTCGGGTCGCCGCTGGGTGCTCCTGGGACGTCGGGGCTGTGCTGCTGTGCTGCTGCGTCGAGTCGACGAGGCGATGGCTTGGGTATCGTCAAAAGGTCTCGACGAACTGAGCGCCGAATGGACACTTTGGTAAGTTGACGCGACAGCTGACTGATGTGGAATGGGGGGGTCATTGGCCGGGGCGGAGCCAGGGTGCTGTGCTGGCGTCCCAGGCCGCCAGTTGAGGCCAAGGGCCCGTGGTTCGGCGCGGGTGGCTCGGTGACACGAGCCAGGTACGTACCCCCGGCCCCCAGGGGACCATCGACAGTGGAGTGACGGGTGCATCTCGGACAGTCGCTGGCAGCAGCAGGCGGCACAATCTCACTACGAGCCTCCGCTGTACCTATGGAAGCCTGCCAGGCATCGCTGTGCCTGAGGTTCCCCGTGGACACCGCTACCGCGGGTCGCAAGTTAATCTATAGCGCCAGTCCCAGGGCTCCGACTGGCGGGGAGGTCAGGCTGCCTGGCTCGACGGCTGGCTGGACGGCCTCCGGACGTCGCGGCCCATCCATGCATCGGCCCCAGTGCCTGGCCTGGGCGGCCCATTGAATTCTTCAACTTTGAGCGGCCACTCGGACAGTTGAAGTTTCAGTGGAGGCACCCAAAAAGGAGAGGGAGCCCAGGCCGTCGACGCGGCAGGTGCCTCAGGCCCACACTTCCCGCCCGTGAATCCGTGCAAGGCCCGCCGGTCAGCCACTGGCAGAGTCCCGCCGGCGAGTAAGGTACCTCGGTGGCGGCGCGCATCACCGCTGTGGAGCAGGTACCGCCTAGCCCCTTAGCAGGGAGTCCCAGGTGCCTGGACGAGCCCTTTCCCAGGGCCCTAACTCTCTGTGTCTTGGGGTCCTGTCCCATCTGTCCGCCGCTCCATGGATCTCAACAACTTGGATGGATCGGAAAGCGCTCACTGCAGACGTGACGGAGTGGGAGGTTCGGCCAGGTCGCCTGGGGGTCGTATCGCATTGCGTGCGCGACATTGAGCAAGCAACGCTGGCCCTTTATGCGTCGCGGGCTCAATGCACGTCCGTATCGTAAACGTCAGACAGATCCAGACAAAAGCCAAGCCAAGCAAGCGTGTTACGTTATGGCAAAGCGCAATCGCAGTGTCAGTCGCAGCCTTCGGGGAGTCGCGCGAAATGCCACGGGCGTACTCCCGGGTGGCCCTGGAGGGTCCCGGCAGCCAGATCCAAGGCCAGCTCCGAAAGCGGTCTAGGCCCCATAGCTTCCAGTCCGCGACGGAGCTCAACGCAAAAAACTGAGCGGCCAACCACAACCCCAAAGGAAATCTCCGTCGCCTCGCGATCCATCCCCCCCCCCGTCCGTCCACCTCCGTCGTCGTCAACATTTCCTGCGCGCGCGCATCTTATCCTCTTCACACTCGCCTGCCAATTGCTGCCTTTGCGCACCGCTCTTCGTCGTCCGCGAGGTTTTCAGCATCTCAGCCTCCCTGTCGACGGACCCGGGTCGACCGTCCATCCCCCTCCATCAAAGCAGAGCCATTTTCTCTCCGACATGCTCAGCGCCGCTCTTCGGAGGCGAGTCCTCGCCCCAACTCACAATGCCCTCCGGACGGGCTTCACCTCGCACGTCGTGAGGTACTATGCCTCCTTCCCGGACCACCAGGTCGTCAAGATGCCTGCCCTGTCCCCCACCATGCAGGCTGGCAACATCGGCGCCTGGCAGAAGAAGGCGGGAGACTCCATCGCCCCCGGCGACGTCCTGGTGGAGATTGAGACCGACAAGGCCCAGATGGACTTTGAGTTCCAGGAGGAGGGCGTCATCGCCAAGATTCTCAAGGATTCTGGCGAGAAGGACGTGTCTGTCGGCAGCGTAAGTTGTCCTCTTTTCCCCCTCTCTTCCCACACTCGTTGGCCCTCGCGAGCGGCACCAGACTTCGTTCATGTCGCACAGACATTGCATTCGTTCGCTAGCTAACTCAATATTTCCGCCGTAGCCCATTGCCATCCTTGTCGAGGAGGGCACCGACATCTCTGCCTTCGAAAAGTTCACCCTCGAGGACGCAGGCGGCGACGCCAAGGCTGCCCAGCCCAAGCAGGAGGAGAAGACCGAGTCGCAATCGGCCCCGGCCCCGGCCCCGTCTCCCGCACCCGAGCCCGAGCAGTACTCTTCCTCCAAGGGCAAGCTGCAGACCGCCCTCGACCGCGAGCCCAATGCCTCTCCTGCCGCCAAGCGACTGGCCCGTGAGAACGGTGTCAGCCTCGACGGCCTCAAGGGAACCGGCAAGGGTGGCAAGATCACCGAGGAGGATGTGAAGAAGGCTGTCAGCAGCCCGGCCGTTGCCGCTCCCGGCGCGAACTTTGAGGACATCCCGATCAGCAGCATGCGCAAGGTCATCGCCAACCGCCTGCAGGAGTCTGTCCAGAACAACCCCCACTTCTTCGTCACCAGCTCCCTGTCCGTGACCAAGCTGCTCAAGCTGCGTCAGGCCCTCAACAGCTCGTCCGAGGGCAAGTACAAGCTGTCGGTCAACGACTTCCTGATCAAGGCCATTGCCATCGCCTCCAAGAAGGTCCCCGCCGTCAACTCCAGCTGGCGTGAGGGCAGCATCCGTCAGTTCAACACGGTCGACGTCTCCGTCGCCGTGTCTACCCCGACCGGTCTCATCACACCCATCGTCGCCGGTGTCGAGGCCCGCGGCCTTGAGTCCATCTCTGGCAAGGTCAAGGAGCTCGCCAAGAAGGCGCGTGATGGCAAGCTCAAGCCCGAGGAGTACCAGGGCGGCACCATCTCCATCTCCAACATGGGCATGAACGCCGCCGTCGACCACTTCACCGCCGTCATCAACCCTCCCCAGGCCGCTATTCTGGCCATTGGCACCACCAAGAAGGTTGCCGTCCCTGTCGAGAACGAGGATGGCACCACCGGCGTTGAGTGGGAGGACCAGATCACGGTCACTGCCAGCTTTGACCACAAGGTCATCGACGGCGCCGTTGGTGCTGAGTGGATCCGTGAGGTCAAGAAGGTCATCGAGAACCCCCTGGAACTTCTTCTCTAAACGGGCTCGCACCGAGCGGAGTGAAGTGTTTGGGAGCGTTACGATGGTAGGAAAACGAGGTTGGATGTTGAATACCTTATAGACTAGGCTGGCGTGGGTGGCCCGGACCGCTCGCAAGCCGGGTCGGGAGCAGCGGAGGACGCAGTGGGGAGACGGGATTGATCTCTCGCCTTCTGCGAGAACTCAGAGGCAAGGCGCCCGTGTACAATGACCCTTGATTGACGCATTTGGGGTGGGGACAGGTTTGCAGCTTGTACATTGGTTTGCTATTCCTCCTCGCCTTCAATACAGACTTTTATGTATTACTCTATGGTTGACGCATCCGCGTTTCGGCGCACTACTGGTTCGTGTTGGTTACCCCCCAGGAGCATGTGCCTGCAAGTCTTGTTGTCATCCGAGCATATGATGCACCGCGTTTATGGGTGGAGATTCCTCTACTCTCATGTCTTTCCAAGCAGGCCGATCGGAGACTTGAGCTTCGCCAGAACGGCCAGCAGGGCGCCAAAGAGTGTCATTGTACCACTGAAATAAGAGAGCTCATGAAAGCCATGGTATCTTTCGACCATGCTTCCGCTGACCGGAGGCCCCACCAGGGCAGAAAAGGAGGCGAGCGCCATCCCGACACCCATGTAAGTGCCGACATTCTCAGGGCGGTCGACACACATGGTCACGGCGACGGAGCCTCCCGATATTATGGCGCCGGAGAAGAAGCCAAAGAGGGCGGAGAAGGCGATTATGGCCGCATTAGACTGGGCATAGGGCCAGCAGAAGACAAGAATTGCCGTGGTAGCGGCAGCTGTTGCCAGAATGTTGATCCGGCCGAGCTTGTCGCCCACGACACCCGGTATGACGCGCCCAAAGACTGACGCGCCATTGATAATGGCCACGAGGTAGCTTGCCAGGGTGTCTCCCATGCCGCGCGTGATGGCGTATGTGGGGATGAGAAAAAGGGGGACGAACATGCCGATCATGGCGAAGAAGAAGGACGCAACGAGAAGGTCGTACATGGGATCCCGGAAGGCGTGCCAGAGAAAGAAGCGGGTGCGCCGAGGGGGAAAACGCGAGCGGATGGCGAGAGCGGACAGGGCCAAGCCGGGAACCATGACGAAGCCGACGATTCGGACGGACCAGCCGAATCCCAGGCCAGTGCGGGTGAGCAGGTTGGAGAGCATGATCGGGAAGACGACGGCGCCGATGGAGGAACCTGCGACGGCGATGCCCATGGCGGCGCCGCGGCGCTTGTCGAACCACTGGGGCACGGCGGCGAGCGCAGGGAACATGACGAGCCCGTTGGCGAGCCCGGTGAGGATCCCCTGGGCGAGCATGAAGTGCCAGTACCGCGTGCAGATGCTCGTCATCATGATGGCGAATACATACAGGACGGCGGCGGGGCGTACCACCTGGGCGGCCCATTGTCAGTATATGTCAAATTAAAGCACCACCTCACCATCACCATTGCCGGCATGGCTTGGAGACACAAGCACGAGTTTCACTCACCCATGCACCGTAACGATCAAACAGCGGCCCGCCCACGGCGCCCGTGGCAAACATGAGGAACGCTTGGACGGAGCCGATCCAGGCTATACGGTCGGCGCCCTCGTTTGGAAGCTGCTCAAAGGTATAGTAGGCCTGGAAAATGCCGAAGGCGTTGGTGTAGCCCAGGGTGCAGAAGAAGGCGCCCGCGGCCCCAGCGGCGACGAGCCAGGCGCGGGCCCCGCCGTCCGGAAAGGCATCCTTGTCGTCTGCGGACGGACTGGCGGCCGTGGCGGCAGAAGAAGAGCAGGCGTCCGGGTCCGTCTTCTCGGGATCCGGATGAGCTGGCTCGGCGGGCTTCTGCGAAGCGTGTTGCGGCGGAAGAGCCATGACGGTCTGGTCGCTGCGACTTGGTTCTGCAATAATACACAGGGCGTCTTGTTGTCTTTTGATATGTATGATCTGCTGCAGCTATACAGGTAACCTTGAGTATGCCAGCTGCCGCTATCCACAGCAAGACGACCCTTTTATATCATATCATGGTCGTCCATGATGAGGCCCGGCCATCGCTAACAAACCCCGGATGCTTCTGGCGTTTTGCACGGAATCTGCGAGTCCGCGAGGGCTCTTGAAGCCGAATAGGCCGACCACCTGATGGCGCCCTGCCATTGTCTGGGAGGTAAGCATGCCGGATTGGAAACGAGCAGGTAATACGGAGTAGAGCTAGTCGTCAAAGTCATGGAGTTGCGTGATGGGCGACGTGGAAGGTGGATGGTCGACGTGACTTGCACGCCTCCCGGCGCCGGTAGGGCCAATCAGCGAGCTGCGGGTTCGGCAATTTCGGTACCGTGGGCCAATGACGACAGCAGAATTCTCGGTCTTTTCAACAGGCCGCTCGAGCTTGACGGGGTTTGGGCCCTTTCAGCCCGCGAGGAACCATCTGATAACGAAACCGTGGGTTGTCTCTTTTCACAGAAAAACAAAATTCCCGACGTGCTCGGCCTTCTCGTCACCTGTCTGTGACCTCTCGAACGCCCTCTGACAGCCCGTGACCTGTTGGTTGCCGGTACCGATCGCCTCTGGCCAGTCGCTGCGACGCTGTGACAGGGCCCTATGGAGGGCGCACCAGTGGACGCTCAGGCGGGGGCCGCCCCTCCACCGTCTTCTCAGTCCCAAGCTCAGGCTCATGAACTGCGTCACCCGCCGGCGCAGGCAACATCACAGCCGCACCTGCTACAGCCCACGCCTGAAAAGAAGCGCCGTCGCCCGGCCCTCGCCTGCGAGCAATGCCGCCGCCGCAAGATCAAGTGCGACCGCAACTCGCCCTGCGGCCACTGCACCAAGGCCCGCATCGCCAGCTGCACCTACGCACCCACCCATGTCCCCGCCTCCAAGTCTAAGTCGAAGCGGCCCCTGGCGATCAAGGCCGGCGGCCCTGCGCGGGATCCGGCCTCGTCCGCTGCGCCCACGCCGCTCCCGCTCCGACCCCATGCCCAACCCCAGTCCCAGCACCGTTTGGTAGTGCCGGCCGCCGAGGGCAGCACAGGCCCCAACGCCAAGGTTCATGCAGATGCCCGCGACATCCTGCCCGAAACCTCGACGACCAGGCTAGGCGGCCTCGCTGTCGTCTTGCCGTCCAAGTCGGCGTCGAGCGTGCCCTCCTCCAAGGCCGGCTCGGCCTCTGACACGTCCAACGTCGACTGGCTTGTGGCCAGGGTCCATGAGCTCGAAGAGAAGCTTGCCAGTGTCGTCCACATCACCGACAAGGATGACACGGCACGCGATGAGCGGCCTGAAGCCCCCTTGGCGGGTACCGTGTCCAAGACGAGGTACTTTGGGACCAGCCACTGGATCAATGTCATAGAACTGGTAAGTTTGTCCACCAAGATCAGGCCTCGGGACATGCACAGCTAACACCCGCCATCCGCCAGCAGCTACCTACTGAGTTTGCCATCCTGGGTCGCGCAGAGCTCGAAAAGAATGACGTCTATCATGCCCTCTTCAAGTGCAAGGCCCTCGCTCGGCGCATCAAGCAGTTGCGCTACCGCCCTCTATCCTCCGACAATTTAGGCAAGCAAATTCCGACCCGGGCCGTTGCCGACCAGCTCCTCGACAACTACCTGCGCACCTTTGAGGGTGTCCTCCGCATCGTTCATGTGCCGTCGTTTCGCGCCGACTACGAGCGCTACTGGCAGAATCCCGATGCCGCCAACGACGCCTTCGTCATGCAGATGCAGCTCTGCATGGCCTTGGGCGCCGTCATGTACGATGACTTCTTCAGCATGAGGGCTACCGCCGTCCAATGGATCCAAGAGGCCCAGCTGTGGCTCATGATTCCTCCAGAGAAGAGCAGAATGACCATTGCCGCCATCCAGATAGGATGTCTTCTGATCCTGGCCAAATCGGTATGTGGCGTCGGTCCCGATCTCACCTGGATCGCCTGCGGCTCGCTCGTCCGGAAAGCCATGTACATGGGCCTGCATAGGGATCCTAGCCGCCTCGGAAAGATGACGACCTTCCGAGCGGAGATTCGGCGGCGCCTCTGGGCCACCATCTTGGAGCTTAATCTCCAGAGCGCCTTTGAATCAGGCGGCTCACCGTTGGTAAAGAAGAGCGACTACGACACGCGCGCCCCCACCAACATAGACGACGAGCTCCTGGGCGACGAGACTGACGGCGAGAGGCTCATCGGAGAGCCACCCGAGGTTCCAACCCAAACTTCTGTGCAGATTGCAATCCTCAAGTCCCTACCTCTGCGCCTTGACCTCCTCAAAAAGGCCAACGACTTTGGCCGCGGCCAGTCCTACGACGAGGTGCTTCGACTCAACTCTGAGCTGACAAAAGCCTGCCGAGAACTTTCCCAGAGGCTACTGTCGCTCCGGAGCAAGGCGACCGGACACTCCGCAGCTCGGATAAGCACCTTTCATGTGTCCATGGCCGAGCTGTATTTGTACCGCTTCTTCCACGCCCTGCACCAGACGGTGATTGCCAAGTCCTTTGACGATCACCGGTACTACTTCTCCCGCAGGATGTGTCTTGACAGCGCGCTCAAGCTGATGCACATCTATGGTATATCCGGCCCCCATCCCTTACATCCCTCCGAGGGCTTTGCCGAATTCCGTCGCACCATTACGAGCGGATCGGGCATGTTTCGCTATATTCCGGTGCAGGCGCTCTTCTACATCGGCGTCGAGCTCATCCACCAGAAGAAGGGCCAGTCAGCCAGCCTGGGCTACCTGCCATCTCTCGGAGACTCGGATCTCCGCTCATGTCTGGAGACGGCTGTGACCTGGACGATCGATCGTGTGCGTGCTGGCGAGACCAACATCAAAGTGCATTGCTTCCTTGCCGCTGCCCTCGGTCACGTCGATGCACTCACGGCAGGACTGGATGAGGCGGCCATTAACGATACCATCGTCTCCCGTGCGACGGACTCGGCCCTCCGGTGTCTGGAGGCTCTCAAGGAAGTGGCTCAGCGGGAGGGTATTCCACCCGAGGAGGAAGAGGCCGACATTGGTGAGGTCGGAGAAGTCACGGACATGCAGCTGGATTGGATGGAAGACTGGGCCTGGGACAACGCGATGGAATTGCCATGGCAGCAGTGGTCGCAGGGGGGTTTTGACGGCTCCGCGCCGGTGCAACCAGACCAGTTTTTGGGCCCGTAAGACGAGAGAGATGCTCGCAGGCCGTGTGCCAGTTCCAGTACTGTGTAATAGGTAGACACGGGGCAAGAACCAATCTACGAAATCTACTCTACTGGCACGACACTACGTGCATATCAAAAGTTCTCCTCACACGGCACAGTATTGTGTCGCCATGCATTGCTACCCGCTCATCCACCGATGCAGGAACGACATGCAACGAACCGGCTCTGAGATGCCGACCCGGTGACTCATGGGTGCAGGCTGCACTGCAACCCGGCCTGTCAAGGCGCTTGTCCAACAGTCGGTTGCCGCTGTGGTACTCGGGTATGCATGACGGCTATGGCTTCACGTTGTGATGCGCGACCTAGGATCCTTGTGCCGTCTTTTAAAAGGCTGCTCTCACCCGCGCCTCCACCCCCATCCGGATCTTCTCTCCCCCTGCAATCCATCGCGACCTACCATCGCCTCTCCTCCGACTCCATGGCTAGACTGATTACGGCCGTCTCCATCGCTCTGTCCATCCTCGCGACGCAGAGCAAAGCACAAATCCCGTCGGTTGTGCTGTTGCCAAGGACTGCGACCGATTGCATCACCACCATGACCATCACGTACTCGCGGTTGCCCACGCCGCCATACTGGCCGCAGTGCTCGTTTGACGGCACGGAGCGCATCTACACGTCGACGGTGACGGCGTCGCACGCGGTCGACTGCCACGGGTGCAACCAGGTGGCGGTCAGGGGGTGGCCTGAGGTGCACTGCCCGGCGATGATTATCACGGCGTCGGTGACGGAGGCGACGCCGTTGACGACGCGTGAGACGGTGTGTGCGGCGAGTCGATAGACGGGATACATGCAACGTGGAGAGGGAGGCAGGAACAATACTGAGCAGGGAGAATACTCGCTTGACTCGTTGGAGCCGGTCTGACAGCTGGCGCTGAGAGGTAGCCCACACACTAGGGAATTCGATTTTCAATACTCACTGGCCACTGTCATTATATGTATTCAACTTTGCTGTGTTTGATGTTGGTGTAAGTGACCGCCGGGGCGGACGCCGGACCCACCGCCGGGACGCCGGCTTGACGCACCCCATGGTCTGTCTATTAATAAACTTTTACGGACCCGCTGGCGGGCCGACGGATCCCGAGCGGCAGTCAACAGCCGGGGGCCTGCGCCCGGGACCACGCGTTTCACTTCTATACCCCTCTGTCATTCACGCATTACTTCCCAACAAGAAATCCCCCAGCTACATTCCATTCCCATTCCTCCCCAGAGCTTCCCTCCCGGAGAGAGAGAGAGACGGCCGAGATGCCCGTCGACTTCGACAAGCAGAGCTACTGGCGCGAGCGCTTCGCGCACGAAACGCAGTTCGAGTGGCTCCTCCCGTCGGCCGACTTCATGGCGATGCTGCAGCCGCACCTCGACCGGCTGGACCCGTCGTCGGCGCGCATCCTGCACCTGGGCTCCGGCACGAGCGACCTGGCGACGCACCTGCGCGGGCGCGGCTTCGTCGACGTGCTCAACGTCGACTACGAGCCGCTGGCGGCCGAGCGCGGGCGCGAGCTCGAGCGCCGCGCCTTTGGCGACGTGCGCATGCGCTATGCCGTCGCCGACGCGACGCAGCTGGCCAGCGGCACCGACGGCGTGCGCCCCGGCGCGCGCTTCGACCTCGTCGTCGACAAGAGCACCGTCGACGCCGTGTCGTGCGCCGGCCACGAGGCGTTTGCGCGCATGGCCCGCGGCGTGCGCCAGCGCCTGGCCGACGGCGCCGCCTGGATCTCTCTCAGCTACTCGGCGCAGCGCTTCGACGACGAGGATCTGCCCTTTGACGTCGAGGTCATTGCGCGCGTGCCGGCCCCCAAGCTGAGCCCCACGGACCCGGACATCTACCACTGGTGCTACCTGATGACGCCAAAATGAAGGCTGCCGTTGCAGAGTTGCATACAATGGGGCGTTTTGTTTTGGAAGGCTCAATAGATTGGGGGGTTGACTTTGGTTTTACTAGCATGCGTCTTGGACAGCGGGCCGAGCTATGGCCCTCACGCGCGCACACATATAAGCTTCAGGAGTCAAGTTTGGGTGATTCACCCTCAAGCATGGAAGACACTGCTTAGACAAGTTTGTATTTTTTTTTTTCATTCTGGAAAAGTATAAGAAAGAATTATACTACAAGGAAAGAAAAGGAGACCCATGATACACTTTTACAACGCTTGTCAACAGAAACTCCGATGACCAATCCGCTGTTGGCAATAACGCCCGTCCATCTCGCTGCACATCCCTCCTTTTGTGGTTGAGCAATAGCGCTAGCCCCAAATCATGGTCAATAGAACACTGCCCAGCAGCTTCAAGCACCAGATTTGGCAAATGCAATTGGCAATCACCTTTTGTTTGGAGACCGGTCAAGATCTCGCGACGCCTTCAACCACCCCCGGTGAACCCCTTCACGCTGCCTGCGTCCGCTTCTCCACGGGCCTGGCATCAAACGCCCCGTACAGCGGCGGCAGCGGCAAAACGTCGCGGCCTAGCATCCTCGCCCAGTACTGCTCCAACTTGAGCCAGTAGTGGCGCACGTGGTCGCGGTTGCGCACGCTAAAGACGGTGTCAAGCTCCTCGAGCGTGCGGTTCTTGGTCTCGGGCAAAAGGAAGTAGGTGAAGACGAAGCCAAAGATGTTCCACGACGCGTACCAGTAGAAGCCGCCGGCCGCGGAGAACTTCTCCATCATCTCGGGCCAGGTGAAGCTGATGAGGAAGTTGAAGGCCCAGGTGATGGACGTGGCCGAGGACATGCCCACGGCGCGGATGTGCAGCGGGAACGCCTCAGCGCTGTACGTGAAGGGCACGGGGCCCATGCCCGGCGAGTAGAGCATCATGAAGCAGTACAGGCTGGCCACGACCGAGGCGAGGCGCGTGCTTGTTTCTGTGATGAGGAAGCTCGAGCCCGTCCAAAAGAGGAAAAAGGCCATGGCAGGGAAGGTCCAGATTAGGAGCTGTCGTCGTCCGTAACGGTCGATGGTGAAGATGGCGGGGATGGCGCCCAGGAAGTTACACACGCCGCAGCCAAACGAGACGAGCATGGCGTTTTCGCGCGAGTAGCCCGCGTCGACGAAGATTTTGGTGCTATAGTACGCAATGACGTTGACTGCTTCTGTTAGCAAACGGCACACTCTCCTCCCCGGTCCGTGTGGCTCATCGCGTTCACGGGTCAACCTGTACGCGGTCCATTGGAATATCAAGACTCACCACCGCAGAATTGTTGCATGAGCTACTCATCATGTCAGTAACGCGACGCTATACATGAAGCTATTGAGGAGAAGGAAGCTCACCATGCAAAACCAAGCACTTTGCGCGGCACGACGGTTGCGGCGCACGGTGAAAAACTCCTTGAACAGCGCCCAGCCCGACTTGGCCTGGTCGCTCCCGGAGGCGCTCAGGAGCTTGTGGGCCAGGTACATGTCGCGGGCGGCCAGCATGTCGTTCTTGCGGAGCTTGCGCATGGACCGAAATGCATCGGGATACCTTCCCTTGTCCATATACCAGCGGGGGCTCTCGGGCATGCAGTAGACGAGCAGGCCGACGATGAGGGGCGGGATGGCGGTGACGCCAATCATCCATCGCCACTGCGAGTTGCGGCCGAGGAAGTCAAGGTGCTGGAAGGCGATGGAGACTACGAGGCCCAGCATGATGCCGAAGGCCGTCCACATCTGCCACATCATGACGAGGGCGCCGCGGATCGTCTTGGGCGCGCACTCGGCGGCGTAAACTGGCGTCGTGGCCGACTTGGCACCCACGGCGAGGCCCAGAACGAAGCGGCCCGCCAGTAGCGTCGTCCACGTCATGGCTACGGCCTGCCATATCGCCGTGGCGAAGGCCAGGAAGCAGGAGAAGGCGATGGTGCCCCGGCGGCCCCAGCGGTTGTTGAGCGGCGCGTTGAGCCAGCAGCCGACGAGGGCGGCCGCGGCGTAAGGGGAGCCGTTGACGAGCCCCTGAAGGAGCTTGTCGGTGATGCCGAACTCGTCAAAGTAAAATGACTGTTTGTTGTTCCCTGGTAAGCACGGGATGGCTCGCGGGACTGATGAGGGACATTTTGTCACTGGCAAGGGGAGGAACAAGCAATATACCTGCGCGCCGTTGATAACGGTCTGGTCCATGCCCTGGACGATGGCGCATCCGGCGCAGAGCGCGCACAAGAGGTACAGCTTGCGCGGGGCCGACGACCACTTGTGCGCCTCCTCGTACCGCAGCACAGCCTTGTCGTCGGCCGTGAGCCTGTCGATGGCCTCGAAGCCGGCGGGCCAGTTGTGCGCCTTGGCCAGCAGGGCGCCCTTCCGGAACGTCTCGCGGTGCTCGTCGCCCAGCCCGTGGGCCGCGACGAAGCCGTCGGCGTCTTCGAGCACCTCGTCCTCCGTCATGTACTCGAGCGGGTTGAGCATGCCCCCTGCCGACGGTGCGGCTGTGGCCGCGGCCGGCGGCGTGCCCGACGAGGTGCTCACCTTGGCCGCCGGCTTGGCATGGACATCTGGCAGATTCGCGTCGTCTGGCATGTTGCTGACACTTTTGGGAGCGGCTTCTTTTTAAGTTGTACTGCCGGGCGTTTCGTGGCGAAGCATCAAAACCAAAGTTGCGAGATTGGGGGAAGAGGTCAAGCATCGAAAAGCATCGCTCCTGCAGGTCGGACAAGAGGGCGACTTTATACTTGATATCGGGCCACGATCCGCGACTTCCCCTCCGAGGAACCTTAGCCTGTCGGACGTGCCTGCAAACTATGCCCATGTCGCGTGAGCGCTCCCCCCTTTCCCCCAGACTCTTCCCCGCGAGAAACCGGCCACAACGAGACGCAGAAGACGCAGCCTGGCGGAGTGCGCGAGACGCGGCGTCTGTTAGACTTTTGGCGTCGCATCCTTCCCCCGGCAGCCACTCGTCACCGAGGCGCTTTTGCGGTATGAGTTCTGTTTCTTTTGGTGGCATTTTAAGCGAGTCCTGTTCAAGATCGTGGGACCACGGTTCGGAGTGCTTGCACACGATGCACACGAGATTCGGCGTCGTCGTCTGGTTGCTGGTTCGTATCAGCTATAGGACCTACAGCTCTGAACTCCGTGTAGTGGCTCGGAACACACACATGTCTTTGGCTAGAGTTCATCGTGCTTGCCAAGCCAGCCAAGCCTTTCCTTCTTAAAGCTCTGAGTTTGACCTTGCATCCACCTACGAGCCGGGCCGCCCCTTGGCAGCCAAGCGATGCGACCCCAGAACCCCCTCGCCGGCCCGCAGTTCGACAGCTCGCCCAGCCCACGGCATCGCATGAACGTCTACGGAGAATTATGCATCATGATGGACTCTTGTATATTAAGCTTCACGAACCGTGTCCATCTCCATCCACCGCACAAAGTGGGGTGAGAGACAGGGAGCCCGCGAGGCATGCCGCCACCCCCAGACTCCGAAACTGGCGGATGCATGCAACGATTCGATGACGGCTGCAACAATATGCGAACGTACGATTTTGATGTTTTTTTTTACTTATGGCTTTCCAAAGTCCCCTTGCACATTCACCCGAGGGCTGCCGTGGGAGCACAAATTTGCTGGTGTCTGTCATCGCGCACAAGGATCCCCTGGCGGCACGGGCGTTCGAAACGACGCCCGAGGGGCCACGACCACACAACAAAGGGTGCTCGGGACCGCGTGCGCACCGGTGGTTAGTTTCGACATCGAACGCGTTCGTAATTATTTCGTCATGGTGTTGAGGGCCCGAGGCCTCTCCTGCCCCGTTCCATATTCAATAATGGAAGCAGGTTTCTTCTTCGACAGATTAAGCTTCCTCGCCGAGGATTTTGGCCGCTCCGAAACACGGCCTCGGATCTTGTGATGCCTCATGTTTGACGCTTGGTCCGCGCGCCGCACTGGAGCTCGACCGCTCGCGGTTGGTAGCTGATGTTCATGGCGTTCATCCAGCTGTTATATATCCGGCTCGGGCATCCTTCTTGCGACGGCCCGCGCCGCCATCAACATACCTCTCCATTTGCCACCACGAAACGCCATCCATCAGACACATAGACGCAGAGGCATCCTTGACAACGGCTCACGACCAGCGAGTCCACGATAGTTGAATAGATCGACGACATGGCTCCGTCGCTTCCCCAGCTCCTGGCCACGGCCCTGCTGGGCTCCCTGTGCGTGTCGGCCAGCCCCCGCGTCGTCCACGACAGCCTCACCGACTCCCCCACCTTCACGAGCAAACACAGCGGCTACAACAAGACGATGATGTCGTCGTCCTGCCCGCACAAGATCATGAAGAAGCACGACTTCACCTGGGGCCCGACCAGCACCGTCTGGACGGCGACGACCACCACCACCCACCACGTCGACTGCGGTCCTTGCACCGCGCTGCACGTCTCCCGCGTCCACCTCGGCGTCGGGCCCCAGATCATCTATACGACCACGGTGACCGCCACGGTGCCCACGACGACGACCATGTACGCGTGCGCCGTCGAAAAGATTGCCCGCGACACCGCGGCACCCACCCCCGACAAATAGAGCTTCCAGTCCCCCCCACCTCCCTGCAGGTTGGTGTGGCATGTTCCAAACGAAACAAACTTTTGGTAGACGGTGGTGTCAAGATCATTAGAGCGTCATGGGTTGATCTGGTGGATCGGATAATAGGCTTCTTTATAGCTTCATGTTCATATGCTAGGCACTTTCATCAGCGTAGTGGTTGAATTCATGTTTCGCGAGCGACACATCAATGTCGTCCTATTTTGAGACTGAGCATGGCCTCAAAGGTCCATGTTACCTCGATTCATTGAACGCCTTCATGGCGCACCACCTGTCGCGTCTCGGCAACACCCGCACTCCCTCCCCAGTCGGCGGCGCCACTTCCATATTCAGGCGGCGTGGCGCCTCGCGGAGTCGCACTCTTCGCGAGCAGATTCCTCGTTACGTCGACCCTCCAGATCCGTGGCCCGTAGTCACTGTCGTCCCGGCGGTTCGCCTCCACCCACGTCCGGATCTGGCCCCGCACCTCCTTGTTCGACGTGACCGTCACTTCGTCCGTCGCCCAACCGTGCATGTACGTCGAGAGTTTGGAGCTTTTGAAGCCAGCGCATCGAGCCACGTCGAGCGCCACGGGCGGCAGTCGGCCTTCCGAGACGGCGCGCTCCATCAGAAGCCAGTCCCAGTCTTGGTCGAGGACACGGACGGGCATCTGCACCGTGGCAGGGAGCTGGTGTATAGACAGTTCCATGAATCGTGAGCGGATTGCCGTGTCCGACATGGCTGTAGTCTCGTCGTCAAGGGGTACGAGCAGCCTCCCGCGCTCACGCTCGGTGCTCGTCCCGACAGTCTTGAGAACCTCGTGGAAGTGCTCGGCCGCCTCCTTAGTGCACACCAATTCCCTGCCGTCGAGGATGGGGTACAGCATCCGCGCCATGGCGCCGCCCTCGCTCTGGTTCTCCTCCACAATCTGCGCCCTGGTGGTTTCCTCCTGCCATGGCTGGGGCTGGAGCCGAGAGTGTGTAATGTCCGAAATGAGATCGACCAGTATCGTGTGGTCCAGGTTGAGCGTTTGCGTGAGACCGTCAAACTCACTCCCTAGGAGATTCTCTATCGCCTTTGGAAGCGGCGGAGGAGGCTGCTGCAAGAAATCGCCGTCCTGGGTCTCGAAGATGACTTGAATTCCCGGGTCAACTCTTGACAGCTGGTCCAAGAGCACGTCGACGTCGTCGTTCCCTCGGCGCTCAATGTTAGGCAACACGACGCGCACCCGCGGGACGCGATACTCGTGCCGGTTCATCCTCGCCGCCGCCGCCAGCCGTCTGACCTGCTTCGCCAGCGGGACGTCCTCCCACTCAGACTCGTCGACGTCATCGCCGACCGAATGCTCTCCCCAGCCCCAACCGCTGTCTGTCATCTGTCGCGCCAGTCGGTCCGACTGCAGCGTGCGTATATCAAGCCACTCGGCGCCTCCATCGACCACGTCGACCTCCACCTTGGCCTGCTCCTTGAGCGTGCGGTGCAGCCGCTGCTTGTCGCGGCCGCGCAGGCCGGCCACGCGGGCAATCTCCCTCTTGCGCGCGTTCTTGTCTGAGCCCTGGAAGGACTGGCTGACGGCGACAAGCGATTTGCGCTTTTTGACGATGTCCCACTTGGTCCGACTGTGAGAGGCGTTGACGGTGCAGACTTCGAGTCTGCGGCCAAGGGCCTTGAGCTTTGGGCCATCCAGGGTTGCTGCAAGGTCAGAGCGCATTTCCTCGAGAGAGAGCTGTATCTTGTTCAGATCCCGTAGAAACGCAGGGAGCCCCGTCGTCTGCACCGACTTGACTTTGTCTTTGAGGCTGTCTAGCAGTTGCTCTACCTGGGGTGCCAAGGATTGCAGGGCTGCGAGCGTGTCTTCCACCGTCTGTGACACGGTTTCGCGAGTCGTGGCATCATCGCAGGGTGCCGGCCTTGACACGGGTTTTAGGGCATCTTGGTTGGCGCCATCATGCATTCGAGTGCCGCCCATTGCCTGCAGCGATGATGATGATATGCGTGTTGTGTCCGGGGTCATCGTCCAGCTCGGCTCGTCCAACCGCGCACTCTGTCCGTGACCCTGCCGTTCCTTTCGGGGAGCATAATTGCTTCTCGAGTTAGGGCCGATGCAGCATTGCTTGGAGAGTTGGACAGGTTTTTTGTTTCGTATGCTGTCTGACCGCTCGCGGTGATCTTGCCGCAACGTCGACCGCAGTGAGTGTCAAGGTTTTGGTGGGCGTCGGCGGCATGGTTGAACCGTTCCGGCGGCTCAATCGAGTGCGACTTAACTACATACATACACAATATGGAGCCTACGACTACTTCGTACTCTATGCGTCTAAGTGCTGCCGCCTCTAAAATACAAGCCTCTCCATCTTCACATTCTATTGTTTCGACAACACTGTTTGAACCCCAGACAATACCCACAATGCAATCGCGGGCTGCTTCCTCAAGTCCAGCTACACGCAAGTCCATTCACTCGGCCAAGTTGACCAACTCCAGGTGGGCCATTCATGCCACTAGTGTTCCAGCAACCACCTCGTAGTAGGCCGTCCGCCACATGCCGATTCTCGCCGTGGCATCTAGACTCTCTCCAGCACCGGCTCAACGCTTCACAAGACAGTACAGAAACGTTAGTGTCAGCCTCGGCTCCCCGTCTTCCCAAAAGGACGACCCTATCGCACTTACACGCTCCTCATACTGTGCGTTCCTGACCCAACTCGGCTGGGCCCCACGCAAAGTCTGTAGCCACGAGTAATCATGGTCCTTTCTTGGTACTGCTCGCCTCCCCCATCAGGAAACCAACCACCACAGACAAAGAAACCGGCCGGCGCCCGAAAGCCAGAGGCAAGACGCCACATTCGGGGTCCCTTCTGGTTCCTCTCTTTGAACCGCACCATCGACTAGTAGTATTCCGCGGTCGTCTCCAGCCCGACAGACTCCTCCTATTGGCAAGCCGCCCACTGCTCCGGACTTCCGAGCCAATGTCATGCCTCGTCAGCTCGTTGATTCCACGTGAGGGTGGGCCACACACACACAGTCGTTTCTCCCGCAAGAGGAATTTAAGCACGGCGGGCCTACCCTAGAGCCCACCCATTCGCCTCAAATGGTCATGACTCAAACGCCTCATTTTCACCCGAAACGGTTTCCGCGCCGACGAAACACCTCACATGCCTGCCTGCCTGCCTCCGTCTTTGGCTCCGCGGTACAGATTGGGGCCCAAGCATTGACTGACCGACAGACGGAAGACTGACTGGGTCGCCGAAGCGTCCGCGCACCCACCACACTGTCTCCTCTTTTTTCAGTGACTGACTGACCACCTTGCCGTTGCTTGTTGGCAACCGTCACGACCACGTTGCTTCCCGCCCCGTTTTCTGCAGGCTCTTAAGTTAGGGCTGGACGCCTAAACGATGCCCATGGCGATGCGGTCACCTGGATATTAACCTATCAGACTTGTCTTCACTGACAGTGACTGCGCCAAAAGTGGACTGGACGGCGGTGCCGAGAGAAAAACGTCAAAATCTGCTTTAACGCGGGAGGCCCGACTCGGCAACGCGCAGGCTCGATTCCGACGGTGCCTGCATACGCCTGTCTGCCAAAACTTGCAGTCAGAACAGATGCGCAGCGCATCGAAGCTGTGCATCACACATCTCGCGAGGCCTCTCGCCTCGTCTCACGCAATTCATAAAGGTTCACCGCTCTTCTTCATTCGTAGCAACAGCAATGCCCGAGGCAAGAAACGTCTTATATGTATCAGAAAAAGCTGCATATGTAACCGTAGGTAGAGCAGCGACGACCAAGCGTGTCTGTGACTCCTTTGTGCATGCGCCAAGCCAGAGCCTGAGCAGCAGGACGGGAGATGAAGCCGAACCCTAGTACCAGAAAATTGCGCACCCAAACACCAAGTCGGCGCCACATCGCGGCCGCCGACCGCCAAAATACAGTCCAATCCAAAACGTTCTTCTACCGTGAACAAACAGCACAATTGTTGAGGCCAGCATCAAAGCGTGCTTAGACCTGAATCTTGGCGTATGCCGGCCCCGCAGGGATGTTGCAGCCGTGGCCGTCCTCCGCGTTCTTCCCGGCAGTGAAAGAGTTAGTGCCCGACCCGTCCGCGTTGATGATGGACTTGTCGCTGTAGGAGCCGTCGCGAAGGCCACATTCCACGGTCATGGCAGTGACGGTGCCAAAATCGTCGTGGGCAGCGAGACTGGAGGCATCGGCGCCAGACCACTTCTTGTTGGCCTCGTTGCCAAAGTCAAACTCGAACCAGGTGCCGTCAAACATGAAGTGCTTCGTATAGGTCATCTCGCCGACACGGCAGGTGCAGCCGCCCTGGCTGTTTCCGTCGAAGACAACTGCCTGCTTGCTCTTGGCTGGCAGGTCAAATTTGAGAGCTCCAGTGTTCGCGGAGAAAAAGCCGTCAATCTTGTTTGTAGGGCCATATTTGTTCCAGCAAACGCATTTCTGGTCCTTGCCCTGGGTTTCCTCGAAGATGGCCTGGTAGTCGTACTTGTCTACGACGTCCAGGGAGGCGAGCATCATGTTGCAGCCGTACTGGGAGCCGCCAACGTTGCCCTTGTAGGCAATGTCACCAACAGTGGCGCGCTTGTTGCCACCGCAGAAGGGAGTGTAGCTCTTGACACCGGCGCCGGAGCCGCCAGAGTTGGACGGGGCAGCCTGGCTAGGGGTGGCCACAGCAGAAGGGGAAGCGACAGTTGAAGGCTCGACGACGGCCTTGACGGGGGCGGGCACAGGCTTGCCGGCCTTGACGAACTCGAGGCGCTTGTGCATGTGCTGGTGAGCCGCACCGCTGGGGTGGGCAGCGACGCCGAGGGCGGTCGCGAGGAAGACGGCGGTGGCGGAGACCTTCATCGTGAAAATGGTTGCGAAAAGTCGGTTAAGGTGATGCTTTTTCTGCTTCGTCGCGGGTTGTTCGTATTCCCAGAATACTGTGTCCAACCGAGGGTCGAGGGAGCGTGGGTGTTGATGTTCTGATGCGGAGACGCGCCGGGGGCGTTTTGGGAGTCGAGAACAAGAACCTTAAGGAAGGTGAGGGTTTGTGATGTTCAAAGAGAGCGTGGTCCGACACAGCGGTACCGTTTGGTTTGCGAGGTAAGGAATGACTTGAAGGACAAAGAAGGGCTGGGACGGAGGTCCAGAAGAGATCGGATGGAGAGGGCGGGAGGAAAGGGGCACAGCAGCCGGGGCCCTGCGGAGGGAGATGAGGGCATATTAATTAATTGCGGCAGGGGAGGGTGCCCGAACGCCCTCCTGGGCGGGCTGCTTGGCTCGCCTGCTTGCTTCCATGCTCGGCTTCCTTGGCCTCCCCCCGGGGGGGGGGGGGGGGGGGGGCGTCGACGGGACAGTGCCAGCAGCACTGGCGAACGGCTGGAACCCGCGCGTTGGGGCCGCTGGGGCCGCTGGGGCCACTGGGGCTGGTGGGTGACCGGCGGGTCTCACGCTACTGACGAGGGTGGCCCCCGGCGACCCCACCCATCGCCAGGGGCAGGCCCAGCGGCTGATCCAATGACAGCCCGGAACCGCCCATTGAGCTCTCGACGGCTGTCAGGCACATGCCGTCCGCCATTGGCCGATGGGCCTCGTCTTAGCCTTTTCGGACTAGCGTGGACCAGCACCATCCGACCTGGTTTCTTGGATCGCTCGAGCGTCGACCGCCCGTCAGGCTTTTTGCTTGCGCGAGACCACAGTGCCGCGACTCTTCGAAGCCCAGAGAGATCCATGGCGTGGATGGATGGATGCTCCGCTGTGGCTCTCCTTCCTCGGCGGGCATGGAGCCACGCCAGCAGGCGATGAGGGGCCCTGGGGGGGCCTTCGAGACCGCTGGAAAGGGTTCGCCAAGTACCTAAGGTACCGACGCCCAGAGAGCCTCGCCCACTGGGGACAGAGCCGCGCGTCGACGGCCCCAATCCTGGGCTTGGGAGAGGGCCCGCATGGCCGCTACCATTGCCTGGACGGGTTGTCATCGCCAGCGAACTGGAGGACGGCGATTCCTTACAGGCGGTGGAGCACTGGAGACAACGAATCGCTCAAGCCTGCAGGTACTAAAACTGTATCAGGGCATACCTACAAACACTGTCAGGTACGGCACAGCACAGCACATGCTCGGGTGCCTCATCAGACATCGACGAACCACGGCAGTACCTCTCACAGTCCGCCCGCCAGAGGCCCACGGTCCGCCTCCACCTCACTGCAGCCAGCCAGCCAGCTCTTCCTCATCCTCCTGCAGGAACAGACGCCATGCACAGCGGCCGTTCGCCCACTGCCGGCCGCTACCCAACGCTGCAACGGCCTGACTGGCCGCCGATGACAGCGGTGGGCGGGCCAAAAACTCAGTTGGTGTGAGGCCTTTGTTGAGAATTTTCTTCTGCCACGCCTCGTGCTGTTTGCCCTGTTTGCTCTGCTCGTCGTGCCGTCAGCTCGTTGTAATGCACTGTACGCCGAGCTGTCCTGCGCCGCCCAATATACCGACCTACCAGCGGCGCACTGCAGTTTGCCACGTCTTGCAGCGCGCCGTCTCGGTCGTCCCACGATGCCCACCGCCCTGCGGCCAAGGCAAGGCAAGGGCGCAAGGTTTTCCCGTCGATGCCGGTTCTTTCATGCCTCGCACCAGCAGCCCACACGTGTCGCCGGCGATCGTGGGACGATCCAAGGTCTTGGGTTTGAGTGGACGGGTTGTTTGCCGGCCGGGCCTCTTCCCCCCCTCCAGGTCCGCCTCTTGCTGCTCACGCGGCGGCCACGATATCGACGATGGTAGTATCGACGGCGCACTGGCCGCGCCCGCCGGCCGCATGCCGCGGGTGACAGCGCATACGCCGCTGCGTGTCGACGTTGCAGCAGATGCACCAGCAGCATGTGTCCGTGTGTCCGTTGTCGTGCGCCATGCAGCTCACCACGTTGGCTGCGTGCCTCACCAGCCTGCCAGCAAGCCCTGACGGCGCCGCCGAGTGCGCCGTTGACGATCGGCGCGGTGGCACTTCGTATTGCAATCACGTACGTACAGAGTTACTTTGACAAGTTCGCACCCCTGACGAAGCAGAACAATGCCGGACTGCCGTACCAAGGACGGCGGCACAGCCGCCGCGGCCTCGCGCCCGTCTCTGGAATGAATAACACGGTGACCGCCCAGCAGCGTCCCGGACGACCTGCCATGGAAAGGGAGGGGGGCGCCGCACAAGGAGAGCCTTCACTTGCCTCACTCCCTCCCTCCCAGCCTCTCCGTCGCCTGGTGCTAGGGCGAGACAACGGCATGTGGGACTGGGACTGCTTTACGCTGTCGGTGAACCGCCGCTGCATGGCCGTGGCAGATCCCTCGACGTGGCGGGCGATGATCGTTCTAATCTTGTCCGGCACCACCCCTGGCAGGCAGGAAAGAGTCTTTCTCCCGTCGCTCTCTGACTCCCGCCCCCTTGTCCTCCTCGGTCTTGGGCCAATTTCGACTGCCGGCATGGCTGCTCCTGCGCCTCACACGCGCGCGTTCTCGTACGTACGCGTCACAGCTGGATCTGCCCAGGCGCAAGCGAGGCCGTTCGACTGGGGCAGACGTTGATTGCGGCGGCGGCGCCCCTGGCGCAAACGTTGATTGCGTGGCGTCGATCGAAACACCCATCTGTTGGCCGTCCGTTTCTCGCCCCCGAGACATCAACAGGCGCGCGGCCGCCGCAGCCGGCCGGATCGGCTGAAACAAGCATGCCGGGAATGCTCCATCTGTGCCTGATGATCCGATCATCTACTTCGATGACCCTCCCATCCTTCCCCAGCAACGACGCCCTGCCCGCCCGCAACAGCGGCCTCCCGCATTGCAGTCATATCTTCTTTGTCTTTCTGGACATTGACAGTCTCGAACCACTCCATCATGCGCTCCCCGCTTGGCAGGTCACCCAAGCCTGAAACACCCACCTCCTCAGCCCCCGCGAGTTCCACGTGTACCATGTAAGAATGTGCTAAAAGCGGTATTACCAAATCCACGACCCCCGTCCTGGCCTCCACTCCATTGATGAACTGGGCTTGCTGGGGCTCCAGTTCCTTTGTTCCTCGCCTCGTATCTGGAGAGGCTGAGCTCAGCCAGCCTGCCAGCGCAGCCGAACCCTCCGGGGGTAGCGATGGTGGCGACCCAGACTCACCAGCGCCCAAGTGCAGGTAATCACCGGGTCTCGTGGTGACCGCCCACAGGCAACAGGGAAGAGGCGCCCTCACCGGCTTCAAGTGCAGGCTTGTGATCCTAGCGTGTCGATTCCGCTGTTTCCCGTGGCTCCCGCAAAGGCTATGCCCGCGCCGTCGACCGGGATCGTGGCCCCCGATCACTAACCACAAAGCTTGGTGTCAACCCCTGGCTCGCCCCATCCACGTACCCGGTCTCTATTGTCTAGCCCTCACCAAGTCTGGACCGACACCCAGCGTGAACCACAGGCTCATTGCACTTGTCAAATGCATTGCGCTCATATCATTTAATACGTGATACTAACCCCGCCTCATCCTTATGCTGCGCTTGGGAGTGGAAATGTCTACTTTGGTGCTTTAACACTAATGTTCTCTGCGAACGCGCTTTTTATGCTTGCCTCCTGATCATCAGACTCTTGTCGCCCCCTTGTTCTCACATGAAGCTCCTCATCGCATCCTCGTAGCCGGGTCCTCCTTGGAGGTCATGTCCAAACTTGGTGTGGACGTCAAGCACTTGGCGGATATGACGCATGCTGAGCGGCTCGCTCTTATTGACAGCCAAATCCTGCGCCGAGCCCACCACGTTTTTGATCTCCCGCCCATTGAGATCGCGTCTGGCCAGGGCATTGAAGTCGTCCTCGGTGAAGGCCTCCAGCTTGATCTTACCCAGCGCCTTGATCCGATCGATGAACATTCGGAAAATGGCCCTCTTGGCCTTGTAGTCAAGGGCGTCATAGCGCAGGGCTATGTGGATTCTCGACTGGAACGCTTCGTCAAAGGTCTGCAACGATGTCAGCATCACCTTTACACGCGGAGCAGACAGAATCCTCCATGCTTACCTGGACGCGGTTCGTCGTCAGGAACAGAATGCCCTGGAAATACTCCAGCTGGCGTAGGAAGATGCTCACTAGAGCATTGCGATGGATATCTTGCATATTGCGCTTTTCTAGGAACACATCCGCCTCATCTAGGAGCAGTATTGCCCCCCAGGCATGGCAGATGTCCAGGATTCGCTGCAGTTCCGTCTCCAAGAAGCGGGAGTCGGTTCCCAGCTCCCCAGCAGATACCATGTAGAGTGGACATTGGAGGAGCTCGCTGATGCCCTCGGCAGTCAGCGTCTTTCCGGTACCAGGCGGGCCATGTAGTACGGCTAAAAGTCTGAGTGTCAGCAACATGTTCTTTGCAGAGTGCATGTGATGGCATAAGATACTGACTGACGAGTCCCTTTCCCTTCCCCTGTATCACATCATCAATCGTCTGAGCTGCGTGGTATTTCCTGGACTGCACCAGGGCTTTGATGAGGTCTTTGGTTGCCGTCTCGAGCACCAACGAATCCCACGCCTTGTCGTTCCATTTGATCTCGCCGATTCCCGAGACAGAAAGCTCGAGCCATTGCTTCTCAGCAAACGAAAATCCAAGGACGACCGGTGAGGCAATGAGGAGAGTGTCTTCTGAGAAAGCCGTCACATCCGTATAGGTACCTTTGGGCGACGGCTGAGGCGTTCCATCACCCGCGCCTGACGGTTCTGCTGATGTATTGACACTGTCTTTGTCCTCTGGCTTCGAAGGCACAGGCTCCAAGCCCTGTTCCTCTGATTCCTCAACATCCGACTTGGGCAGCCTAGCCACGATGATTCCTCCGCTCTGATCCTTGAAGACTCTGGAAATGTACTCGGTCCTTGAGCCAGAATCGTCTTCCTCTGCAGAACCGCACGGGCAGCCCGCCGCATCCGAATCATCGGACGACAGGCCGTCGTCGGAGAGGATGTCATGATCCTTGGGTCGCACTGTTGAAATGGCGTAGTTGGGGTTGATGCGTCGAAAGATCGCCGGGTCCACCATGACGCGGCTTTGGTGGATGCTGAACCTCATGACGGAGTTCTTCTTACGTTTCTGATATGCAATTCCGGAGTAGGATTTGAAGTGCACCCCGTCGAGGGCGACGAATTTCCGGCCTCTGGCAATCAGCTTTTCCCGGATCAGGGCTTCGTCCTTGTGGTACTTAAGCGGAAAGCACGGCAAGCTCGTGATCTTGCAGGCACCCTGAAACTCGGGGATATCTTGGGTGACAGAACCGTAGCCAAACCTCTTGCCGTCAAAGTCAAGATATTTCCCCTCGACGAGGTAGAACTCACCCCTCATGAGGGAAGTCTGCCGATATGCCATGCCGACCTTGAACGCCCTGGGATCTTCCGTGTTCCCGTACGCGGTGCCGTAGACAATCGTGTTGGGTTTCCATAATGCCCAAAGCAGGTCAAATGTGATGACGCCACTTTCGAGCATGGGATAGAGGCTCTCTTTCACCTTGGCGTAGTCCTTGTCGAGGTACCGGATGAGCGTCCTGAGGTGCTCCATCTTGCACTCCAACCGCGCACGGTTTTTCTGGCGTTCTTTCTTATCATCACCAGCAGCCTCTGCCTTTCTAAGGTGCTTTAAGTGTGTGCGAAAGTCCTCCAAGTACAAGAAAAGCAGGTTGGGGTCCAGTTTTGGCGTTCCGTCGACCAGACTTGCGCCGCGAACATTGCCGATGACATCCTGCAGACATTCGCGCAACAGTTTGCTTTTGATGTCGACGAATGTTTGGCGGTACTTGCCCTCGCTGTCGAACGTCCGCCGAACGTGGAAAATGAAGTCGTCATATCGAGTCACGGTCGTCGCGGCGGTGTTCTGAAGCTTGAAAGTGTAGCGAGTGGAGTCCCATACCCAGTCCACGCGCTTGAAATCCGCCTTTCCTTTCTTCTTGGTCTCTTTAGGAGTTTTCGCACGAGTCTCAAGTTCGGCATCCACTTCGTCACCTGAACTTGCTTCTCGGTGCGAGCTCTTGCCGCATCTCTGTGACCGACCCGAGCGCCCAGATTGCTCGCGCGACGACGCGGGAAGCGTAGCTGGCGGGGGTTGCAAGGGGGATAGCGCCGGTACGCTACCATTGTTGCCGGTCAACTGAGAAAAACGCGCCCCCAATGGCGGTATAACGCTGGCGACGCCACTGTTAGACATGGTCATGTTCGGAACAGCTGCTCCATAGGCCACGGCGGTTTGGAGCTGGAACAGCCGAAGCTCTAGTCGCTCCAGCTGGTCGCAAATATGGCTGTCTTGGGCCGCATTGCCCTCGACTTGGCGCCGACCCTTGTGGCGGATGGACTTCTGACGGCGGTCAGAATCCCCCGCCGTGGACGAGTCTGTGTCTGAATCGGAAACTTGACGAGACTTGTCGCGGTGGCGAGTGCTGTCCCTGACCCTTCTCCTTCTCCTTGTTTTCCTTGAAGCACGGGACCTTTTATTTCGCGTCGCCGCCGCCTCGGGATCGTCAGAATCCGAGTCGCTTCTTGAGCTGTCCGAGTCGGAAAGAGAGGACAGTTCGTCCTCTGACTCTGAGTCATTCTTTTCGCGATGACCAGCCGATTGAACTCTTTTGGTCTTCTTGGCATTCAATGTCTGCGATCGTGCTCTTTTTGCTGCATTGTGCGCGGCGTCATTGGCGCCACTGCCGTTCATCTTGTGCCTGGCTCGGCTCGGACCCGCGGTTTTGTGCTCGTTGCCGGGCTGCGCATTGTCCGCCTTGGGGCTTTCCTTCTTATCGACAGGCATCTGTAAACATGCCTCTTTCGCTCGATCGTGTGACGGGGAGATGGTGATTTCGTGAGACGACATGGTGAAATACGGATCCTGCAGTCAGACCGGGCTTAGGTCACCATTGCGCAGCTGCTGAGAGCTCTTGAGGCTGTGTTCCCACGAGTGCGCCGTAATGATGCTATTGAGCGCTGCAAATAAGTCGAGAATGTGGCAATGTGCGCATTGGCAATGATGCAATCCGTGTGGTGTGAGGGTACCGTAGGGTGAAGGACTTGTAGCTCCAGTGCGTCAAGAGTTGCAGCAGGCCTAGTACAACGTGTGCGATACGGAGGTCCTGAATCACCCTTGTCAGCATGCGATGTCAAGATTGCAGTGATTCAATACTAACCTGAAGGATGAAATATGCGTTTGGGCAATGGAGAGGAGGTCGGGAAGTGGGAACAAGAGGGAGGGAGGCAGATATAAATAAACGTTTGGGCAGTAAACGGAGAGGTTGTGAGTGAACAGGTGCAAACGGCGGCAAACGGACAGTAGTAGGTCGGATGCTCTGGTACAGTTGGCTGCTGAGAGCAGGACCTTAGGAGCGTGTGAGTCGCCTGCGAGTGCCTCGCCGACTCATCAACCAACATGCCCCGTTGCGTGCAATGTGGGCTTCGAGGCAGAAGCGCGGGCGGGCAGGCACTAGCTGGTAAGCGAGCAAACGCGCAGCAGCTCCGATCAACTTGTGGTTTCTGAAGCTTGACCAGGCAGCACACGCTCTTGCCGTAGCAATTGCCGTTCGCAGTCTAACCTCTGGCTTCTGTGTTGTCTCGACGTGGGAGTAGGGTAGCGACGAGGGAGAACGCGGGAGTCTTCTTTTCCGGCTGCGAAGGCTGAGAAACCGAGCGTGTCGAGCAACGAGGATGCGGCGAGCGGCAAGCAGCAAGTCACTTAGGCACCAACTTGTCGGGCAACGACGGAGCAGACTGAGGGGCAAATGGTGACGGAAAGCTGCTTGCCGGGCTACTTGGCTGACTATTCAAACAGCCGACGGGTTGGTAGTCGATGTTGCAAGGTCAAGGGAAACGACATCGAGGTCCGTCGAACGCGGGCCGAGCTACTGTCCCCGGTGAGACGTCAAGTGACGCGACCCCTCCGATGAGCCGTGGAGCGAGGACAGAGGGCGAGCGCGGTCGGCCCAATGAGACGGCCTTGCGTGGCTCTTGCAGCGTCGTGCAGCCTGGAGCCTTGGACGATGATGCCATGAGGCCAGGCAGGCCGGGCCCTGGTGCGTCGCGGCGGCGAGCGGCGACGGCTTCGAACCGCTGGTGGCATGGCCGCGCTTGGTCTTGGTAGGCAGCCACGCACAGCCGGTCAGCGGGTCGCGTCTCGTCGCTCAGCCCTCGTTGAGTTGGCCTCGCGTCGTCAGGCGATAATGCGTCTTGCGCTTGCTTGACTGGCTGTCCACGGGGCGCGGGGCCTCGCCGGAGCTCAGCGGTGGGCGGCCGCTTGGTCAGGCCGCGGCGGTTCCGGTGCAACTGCTGCCAACAGATGGCGCAAGGCGGGAACGAGGCGCGCACAAACTAGAGCAAGGTCAGCCAGCGCGGCGTGACGGAGACAATTGGCCAGGCGTCCACGGTGGTCTCCCCAACTCGCGACCACCAATTCGGAGGCCTTTGTCCACTTGGGACGCGGCCGGTCGTACGCGACTGATTGCATGAGCAGGCATGGAGCATGGGGCTTGCCGGCCAGCCTTGGTGGCAGGCCCAAGGTGATCACGAGCGTTGTTGTGCTGGTGTTGAGCGATGCAGGAGAAAGGGTCGCGGGCTGCCACATGGATGGCTGGCCCCTCTTCTGTTGCAGGGTGCGGGCACGACAGGAGCGGACGAGGCGGGCGATTGACTGTGCGAGCATGGAAGTGACTGTCCCGGCAAGGCAAGTGACGACCTGCAAGAGTTTCTGGGTTGCACCTGCCCGTACCGTGGTCCTTCATTGCCTTCTGTCTCTTTGAGCCTCGAGGTACTTCGCAATGTACTTCGTGGTAGGCTTTACTTTACTTGTACGAAGCACGGGCAATCACGATCGAGCACGGTGGGAGGACGAGAAGAGGACGGGCTCTGGCAAGGTTTGGCGGCATCCCTACTCCAACTTTGGCACCATCCTGCTTCCCCGGTCCTCTTTACCTCAAAAGGATGAGCCGTGTTGTCCGTTCGGCGCAGTGGTTAGAAACCTCCAACTTAACGCTGCGCCCGAAAGGCAGGTCGTGAAGTGTGAGACTATCTCGCGCAAGTCAAGAAATAATCATGAATGAATTGATGCCAGGGTCCTCAAGCATGGATCCATCGGCCCTCGTGTTGATGTACTGGGTGTCACAGCTCCACGTCTTTCTCACACACGTAGATTCTCTCGGCGGCAATAGCACCGGATACCGACGCCTGGCCGGTCACGGCAGTAGATCTGGCCCCACTGTTCCGATACGGCAGCCAAAGCAAGGGAAATCAACATGTCGACGCCATGTGACGACGTGCATGGACGGTTGGCGCGGCGGACTGTCGGCGCCGGCGGTGTGGCTTTACCGTTACCGTATCTTCCCTCGGGGGGCAACGCGTTCGTGTTGACGACCTCGCATCGCATGCAGGCGTGCGCCCGTTTGGGTTCCCCGCACGGTGCTCTGGCGTGAATCGTCAGGAGGTTGCTTCTCTTGGTAATGGCCACAGGACTGCGGCAAGGCCTTGTTTGCGGGACGGTGTTCGCAGGACTTTAACTGCAGGCCCAACGTTCAAGCCCCCCGGCTTTGCAGTGGTCCTCGGCAGCGTCTCAGCGAGTGAGCCGCCTGGCAAACTTATTGGTGTCCGGCATGGGCCCCGGGAGCTGGTTGGTGCGCTGGACGTTGGGCGTTGGAATAGCCAGCTGGAGCCCCGCATTGGGGGAGCATTTGGGGGGCCTTCAGCTCCACCTTTTGGCGCATGCAAGCTGAGTTTCCAGCGGTGGCTTGCGTCTCCACCCAATCAACTGCCTGCGCGCAACGTCATTTGAAGCTTTGAAGCTTCCCTGTTTAGCTCGAGCAGCAGCTCATGGCCTCGAGCTTCGTCGCGCTTCGTCACCTGCCGCTTCGGACCCCTCATTTTCTTTTCTGTCATAAGCATTGGCATTCAACGTCGCGGCACCCAAAGGCGAGCATAAATTCTCCCTCTTGTGCTCGTACTGCGGCATAGGGCCCAGTCTGTCTCCGGCATCACTGTCCACGATTCCCGCGGCGCTCTGTTCGACGGGCCTGCGGCGTCGACGACGACGGCGCATACAGCAACAAATCCGTCAATGCCCGCCGGTTGCCGTTGGCCAGCTACCGCATCTTAGGCGCCTACACGATGCCCAACATATCTCGCTGGAAGGCCATTGACCGCGCCCTGGGTTTCGAGAGACAACCCGGGGTCGGTGGCAGCGGCCACCATCGCGACTGGCTTCACCAAGAAGAGCAAGCCTGTCGGTCTCCCTCGACTGCGCAGCCGCGCAGCTTCGCCAGCAGGCACTGGACGCTGACTCGTTACAGTGCTTCCGCAGCTTCGCAATGAGCACCTGCAGACATCTGTGCCACCTGCCGAGGTCACCAAAGTGTGCCTCCGCCTGCGACATCTGTTGCAGGAATGCGTCCCATGCGAAATGGACGAGGCGCGCATAACGACGCCGCACAGTCGCATCATTACGACCAAGGTCGTCAAGGCCGCCAAAGAGGCTGGTGGCCAGGAATACAAGGGCTGCGTGGTATGAAGGGTGTACCCTGAGACGGACGTTTGAGCCTGCTGACGCGTGGTCCAGGTCTACTGCTTGCTCGTCAACGAGCGTTGGTTCCGACATGAGGCTCTCGTAGAGCTCTGGGATGCCGGTCTCCATAAGTTGCGAGCCGTGGCCTGTGGTGTCATTGCCAAGGCTATGTAAGGGTCGATGCCTTCCGCTATCGAACAACGATGAGTCTGACTTGCTGCAGCATCGAGACCGAGGACGACACAAATTACCTCCTGCATGCTGTCCTCCTTCGGCGGTACTCCTTCCTCTCCAGAGGTGCTCCCACGATGCCAGTCAATGTAATTGAAAAGGCTGTCGACTTGCATTCTGTCCGCGTCATTGGTTCCTCGGGCTACCAGAAGTGCATCGGCTACCTTTGGCGAGGCTGGCTTGTGCAGGACGAAAACGACCCCTCGGTCTTCGTTGACTATGCCGACAAAGATAATACCAACTTTCTGGTCCACATGGACCCTGACCGAATGAGGGCACCGAGGTACCAGAACGCCGCTCAGCTGCTTTTCTCCGTCATCTATCTCATACTCTACACTTCTGCCATCAACTCCGTCAACCGGCGGGGCGAACTCGATGCAGCGGAGGTGCTGATGTATATCTTCACCCTCGGCTACGTATGCGACGAGTTGGTCAAGTTCTACAAGGCTGGATACCACATTCTTGGCTTCTGGAATGCATTCAATGGCGTCCTGTACTCCTTCCTGACGGCATCGCTCGTTATACGCATCATCGGGCTAGTCGCGCCGGCCGACTCACCTGACCGCAAACATTACAGCAAGCTGAGCTACAACATCCTGTCCTTTGTCGCCCCCATGTTCTGGTCGCGACTCTTGCTGTACTTGGACAGCTTCCGCTTCTTTGGCGCCATGCTCGTCGTCCTCAAAGTGATGATGAAGGAGTCGGTCATCTTCTTTGCCCTGCTCATCATCATCATCATTGGTTTCCTACAGGCGTTTATCGGCCTCGACCTGACTGATGACAACGTCGCTGAAGATGCGTTGTTCATCGTCGAATCCATGTTGAAGGCAATCTTGCAGAGCCCCGAGTTTGAAGGCTTCGAGGGATTCGGTCCCCCTTGGGGAATCATCCTTTACTATTGCTTCACGTTTGTTGTCATGGTACGTATCCCCGGAGTAAGTCGCAAGGAATCTTGTCTCACCCGTCAAAAAGATCATCCTCCTTAATATTCTTATCGCCCTTTACAATTCGGCCTATGAAGACATCTACGAGAATGCCGACGACGAATACCTTGCCCTGTTCTCCCAGAAGACGATGCAATTTGTGCGGGCCCCCGACGAGAACGTGTATATTGCGCCTCTTAACCTCATCGAGATCGTTATATCTGGTCTCTTTGAGTGGTGGATGAGGAAGAAGACCTACGAGTTCATCAACGACTGCGTCATGGGCGTCTTGTATTCGCCACTGCTGTTCGTAGCGGCCTGGTTCGAAACACGTACGGCGCATCGCATCCGACACAATCGTGCCAGAGGCGAAGAGGACGACGACGTGGTGGAGGAGTGGGAGCATGACGCGCACGAACTTGACTTTGAGGCGGAGGGATGGACCAAGAAATGTGACGCTGTCAAGCCAAACTTGGAAGATGACCCTGCTGTGCTGGAGGTCAAGAAGCTGCGGGAAGAGGTGGAGGAGCTGAGGGCCCTACTGGCCGAGATTGGACGCGCCGTTGGTGCAAGCAACGACGAGAGGGGGTCAAAGTCGGAGCCATCTGGAAAGCTCTACGAGTCTCAGCGCAGTGACGACACCAAGGTCCCCGAGTCTGAGCATGGTGACGAAGAAGGCGGTTCCGGCTCTGGTGGAGGAGGGAACGAGGAGTAGCCCAACTTCTTTTCTTCAGCATACAGTCACTTCATAGCTGCGCACGGGAGGTATTAATTTGTCCGACTAGTTACAGGATGACGGAGGGCGTGCAAGTAGTCTGGCTGGAGAAAGGCATCCCAAGCCACCCCGACCTAGTTCATAACGCGTGTTACCCACCTGTCTGCTCATTCTGATTCTCCTCATGCCTCGGGGAAGTACTCCCTGTTTAGTGTCGAAAGGATACGGTTAGCTCACATGTACAAAGGCTCAGAGGTGGGATATACCGATGCTCCTTGGGACGAGACTTACGGAAGCACCTCGTTGTACGCAGCGACGTCCTTCGCCTCGAAGGTGACAAAGACGACTCTCTCAATACTGTTGCTGTCCCTGTCCAGAAAGTTGCGGACCGTCTCGCATGCCACATGAGCAGCCTCCAGGCTTGGGTAACCATAGACTCCAGTGCTGATGCCGGAGAATGCAAGAGTCTTGACGCCACTCACGACGGCCAATTTCAACGATTCCTCGTAGCAACTTCGGAGAAGTCGCTCGCTCTCCTGAGGGTTTCCACAGTTGTACACGGGGCCGACAGTGTGGATGACACACTTGGCAGGGAGATCGTGCCCCCTCGTGATCCTAGCTTGACCAGTGGGACAGCCGCCGAGGCCTTTGCACTCGGCAAGGAGGCCTTTGCCAGCGGCGCGGTGGATGGCGCCGTCGACACCGCCGCCGCCAAGAAGGGATTCGTTCGCCGCGTTGACAATGGCGTCGAGCTGGAGTTTAGTGATGTCGCCGCGGATGAGGCCGACGCCGGCGTTTGCGGCTGCCGAGGGGTGGGCAAGAGGCCTGGGCGAAGGGCGGAGCGCGGAGGATTCATAAAGCTGAGCGACCGTGGGGATCTCGGAGAGCGACGTGGTACCCGTAGAGGAGGCCATGGTACTGACTGGAGATGTTTTGGTCTGGAAAGGGTTGGTTTGGTGGTGTGTGTAGGGTTTGGAGAAAATATGCCTGGAATGAGATTGTGTGTTGGCAAGAGCGAGGCAGGAGGAGCATGTGGTGTTCGGTTTCCTATACGTTGTAGATGGCAGGTACCTTGAGTTCCTCGGAAGGTAGGAAGGCGCGGAGGCAGAATGAATAGGGCTGATTCCAAGCAAGAAGCGAGACTTTAACGGAGCTTCGTTCACGTGCTGCTTCGACCAGTTCAAAGCATCGAGCGAGCGTCGCATCTAGTACAAGCTCTTTGAGCGTAGAGAGAAAAGGGACTGACGCAGTCGGCAGCTGCACAGGGCCGGTTTCAGTGATGGTGCAGCGTAATGATCACAAAGGCAAGGGAGCTTCTGCCTTGAAACCTCTGATTGCCGTCGTTTGAACCTTAAAATCGGAACCGCAGATGGGACGAAATGTTTGTGCTCGAAGAGAGTGTCAGGTTGGAGCTATAGACAACATCGAATGGACCTTGGGCGTGGAGGGGCCCAAGCCATAGGTCATCATGGTGCTTCGATTTGGCCCCAAAGTACGTTACACGGCAACCTGGAAGGTACGTACCCAGGACTCAGGACCCACAGCGCGGAACCCCTCCAAGCTTTCTTGACCCCGCCAACTGCCCTTTCATCGCCTTATCGGCAATTCTTTTGCTTGACTCACCGACCTCGATACCGCCCGTCAGTTCTCGTCAACGCTCCTTTGACTCAACAAAGCCCCCGCGTCCTTGCAGCGTCCGACACCTTGAAGCAATCGCACCCGTTCGATCTGTGCATAGGCATTTGTTCCACGGCTACGACACCATGGCGGAAGACGCGACCAAGTCCATGGCCAAGCTTCAGCTTGATGAGGAGACCGGCGAGATGGTCTCCAAGGCCGAATTGAAGAAGCGCCAGCAGAAGCGCGCCAAGAAGGCCGCCCAGGAGAGGGCTCGCCAGGAGAAGGCTGCCGCCGGACCTGCCCCTGCGGCGCCCAAACCCGCGGCAAAGCAGGAGGAGCAGCCTCTCGACCCTGATGCCATGTTTAAGCAGGGCTTCCTCCACGACGTCTACGACGACCGACCCGTAAAGAACGTCGTGACGCGATTCCCTCCGGAGCCCAACGGCTACCTCCACATTGGCCACGCCAAGGCGATTGCTGTCAACTTTGGCTTCGCCAAGCACCACGGCGGCGTTTGCTACTTGCGATACGACGACACGAACCCGGAGAAAGAGGAGGAACAGTACTTCACAGCCATTCAGGATGTAGTCCGATGGTTGGGATTTGAGCCGTTCAAGATCACGTACTCGAGCGACAACTTCGAGAAGCTCTACCAGATGGCCGAGAAGCTGATTTCCCTTGGCAAGGCCTACGTCTGTGCTTGCAATGGTAAGCTCGAGCAGGGCCCTCACCGCCAACGGTAAAACGTTAACAAGACGATGCACAGATGTCGAGATCAAGCTCCAGCGAGGTGGTGAGAAGGGTGCCCAGCCTCGCTACCGGTGCGAGCACGCTGAACAGACCGTCGACGACAACCTCACCAAGTTCCGCGACATGCGAGCCGGCAAGTACAAGCCCAAGGAGGTCTTCTTGCGCATGAAGCAGGACATCACAGACGGCAACCCCCAGATGTGGGATCTGGCGGCCTACCGAATCAAGACCGACACCCCCCACCACCGGACAGGCTGGGACTGGAAGATCTACCCGACCTACGACTTTACACACTGCCTGTGCGACAGCTTCGAGGGCATCACGCACTCCCTTTGCACGACCGAGTTCATCCTCAGCCGAGTTTCGTACGAATGGCTCAACAAGTCGCTCGAGGTCTACGAGCCAATGCAGAGAGAGTACGGGCGCTTGAATCTGACCGGAACGGTTCTCTCCAAGCGCAAGATCCTCAAGTTGGTCGAGGAGAAGATTGTGCGCGACTGGGACGATCCTCGCCTGTACACACTGATCGCCATTCGCCGTCGCGGTGTACCCCCTGGCGCCATTCTCGAATTCGTCAACGAGCTCGGCGTGACGACAAACATCACGACCATCCCGACCCACCGTTTCGAGCAGACCATTCGCAAGTATCTCGAGAAGACGGTACCGCGACTAATGATGGTGCTCGATCCCGTACCTCTGGTCATTGAAGATGCGGAGCCCGTCGATGTCCAGCTGCCCTTCTCCCCCAAAGACCCCAAGATGGGACACCACACCGTCAAGTTCACCCCTACCATATACATAGACAGGTCAGACTTCCGGGAAGAGGATAACAAGGACTTTTTCCGCCTTGCACCGGGCAAGACCGTCGGGCTGCTGAATGCGCCGTTCCCAGTGAAGGCCACGTCGTTTACCAAGGACGAGGCCACGGGCAAGGTGACGGAGATTCGCGGCGTGTTTGACAAAGAGACCAAGAAGGCCAAGACTTACATCCAGTGGGTTGGAACGGAAGGCTCAAGGAAGGTGGAGGCACGCATCCACAACGCACTTTTCAAATCGGAGAAGCCCGACGATGCAGAGGGCGGCTTCCTCAATGACCTGAACCCAGACAGCGAGGTCATCTATCCCGATGCCATGATCGAGGCTGGTTTCGACGAGGTGAAGCGCCGCGCGCCGTGGCCGGAGGCTGCCGGCGAGAGCGAGCTTGGCAAGGGAGGACCAGAGAGCGTGCGGTTCCAGGCCATGAGAGTGGCATACTTTGTGAGTACACCATCCGTGCCAGCTAATTCTTTTGACCATGAGCTGGACACTTTCGCTAACGCAGAGGTACACAGGCCATGGACTCGGACAGCACCGATGACAAGATTGTCCTCAACCGGATCGTCAGCTTGAAGGAGGATGCCGGCAAGAAGCAGTAAATCTACAGGACATAGCGAGAAGTAATGTGTGCATGGCGTTGCGAGGTTGGGGTGATGCAGCGTATTGGCCCCTGAGCCGTGGTTCCATTGGCATATATTCGATAGAGGATGTGATGAAATAAGTGATTGCCGTGATGGATGCGCCTTGAGATGTGTGAATGTCGTCGTATGTGTGTGTTGAATAACGCGAGTTTTGATCTGCCTGAGCGGCGGGACCACGGAGGTTGGTATTGAAGCACCATGCAGCAGGTGCATCTCGGGAGTGGACTTCGTTGGGCATCGGGCCAAACGAGGGCGGAAAAGACACCCCATGATGACGCAAAAGGGCCTGCCTAGCACCTAGAACAAGGATTTGCGGGAGAGCATGGAGCCCATGCTCGGCCTCGTCAAGACGGTGTCGGACAGCATCCAAATCGCCAACGGCGTCCTGGCCACCCTGACCACAAACGAAGACAAGACGCGCGCCGCTCTGGATCCCTTCATGCTGGCGACTGATGTTGCCGACTACCTCGTCCGCAAGGGCGTGTCGTTCCGTGAGACGCACCACATCTCGGGCCGCTGCGTCGCCAAGTCGGAGGAGACTGGCATCCCCGTGAACGAGCTCTCATACGAGCAGATGAAGGCGATTGACCCGCGCTTCGAGAAGGACATTTCCGAGGCTTTCAACTACGACGCAAGCGTGGAGCGACGATCGGCCAAGGGCGGCACCAGCAATTCGAGCGTCATGGAGCAGATCAAGGTGCTCAGGGAGATGCTTGGCTGAGAGGTTGGGGCGACGATAAGATGGCGTTGCCATTGTACGACAAGCTGGAGCGACATGTAATTATAGGCAAACCAAAAAAGAATGCTGAAGGATCGGTGACGAATGAAAGAGCCAGATACCCATGCCGGCCCCTTGCTTGTTCACTTGATGACGCTGCCACTGCCGTCGAGAGTGTGGCACCTCGGCTCGCACCCAGCCACGGCTACGTAGTATCTGTTGAAGTGCAGACCACTGAGAGTGCCGTCAGCCTACCTAGCGGGCTTTGAGTGCAGGCGGCGGCTCACTCAGAAGGGGCCCTCCCGTGGTGATTGAGTTTCGGCCGCGCCACCTCAACGGCAGCGCGGACAGGCCGAGCCACCAAATAAAAGCCTTCCTGGCAGGAACCCGCTGACGCCACGTGCAAGGCGGCTCTGAGCGCCAGCCGTCCATGTAACTTTTCGCTACGTCTGGCCAACAGATTGCGGCGCCCGCGGTCTATACGAGGCGCCAGGGGGGGCGGGCCGTCAAATGCAAGCCGTGAGGCCGTCGCGGTGAGATGTGATGTGATGCGATGCGATGCGGATGACGGCCGCCCGTGTCGCCGGCAGGCTGGCTGTGAGAGGTGAGAGGGCTCCCTCCGCGGTGCGACAAAGCGACAAAAAGAAGCGCCGCGTGCCAACCGTCCCAGGCAGGCGACGACGCCCATCAGCAGGGCCCTCCGTCAGTGGCCGGCATCCCACCAATGCCAACCTCTGGCCGCAGCACCTGGCTCGCCCTGCCCGCCTGGTGGTGGTGGTGTTGTCGCTGCTCGGCGGGCATGCGCCGCCACGGCCGCCGACCGCCAGAGCATGAAATGGAGCATGCGTGTACTTTGACTTTGCGCGGCGAGTCAGCGCGGCGACATGTATCGCGCGCATTCGCCGTCCGAGCCTCTCCCGCCGCCTCCCTCCTTTGACTCTGCCGTGTAGACAACCCAAATTCCGGGGGTCGCTGCCTTGGAGGGGGCGACCCCGTCTGTTTCCCCCGCGACGGCCTAGTAGCACGCAGCTTCGAGGAGTCGGAACTACTGCTAGCACCACTCATGGTGCAAAGTCTGGAGAGGGCAGCCGGGCAACCAGGGCCAGGGGCAGCAAATGGGCGTCGGCGCCCCGGATATGCGTCCATGATCTGAAATGGCCCCTGTCTGGGTGGCCACACCGTGCCCCCCCAGGGGGCCTTGGGAGGCTTGGGGAGACTCGCCGACGCGACTCACCGCCTTCGCCATCCGGCCCCATCAGGCTTAGCGTGGTGCGATAACGCCCGATAAGCCCCAATGGAGGGGTAAACCTTGCGAATTTTTTTTTCAGTTTTGCCAGCAGGGAGCCTGTCG